ACTATGAGTAGTTACTATATACAAACAAATTGGACAATCTGGAAGAAATGAATAAATTCCTAGAAGCATACAATTTTATAAGACTGAATCAAGAAGAAACAGAAAATCTGAACTAATAAATTACTACTAATGAAATTGAATCAGTAATCAACAAGCTCCAAATAAACAAAAGTCCTGGACCAGATGGCTTTTAACAAGGCCACTATTTTACAAGGCCACTATTACCCTGATTCCAAAACCAGACAAAGACATCACAAAAAAGAAAACTATAGGTGAATATCCCTAATGTACATAGATGTAAAAATCCTCAACAAAATATTAGCAAACCAAATTCAGTAATACATTAAAAACATCATACACTACAGTCATACGTGATTCATTTCTGGTATGCAAGGTTGGTTCAATATTCACAAATCAATTACCATGATACACCACACAAACAAAATGAAAAATAAAAATCATTTGGTTATATCAACAGATGCAGAAAAAGCACTTGACAAAATCCAGCATCCATTTATGATAAAAACTCTCAGCAAAGTGGAAATAGAGGGAACACATCTCAACATAATAAAGGCCATATATGACAAACCCACAGCTAATATCATACTCAATTGGGAAAAGCTAAAAGCATACTCCTTGAGAACAGGAACAAGACAAGGATGCCCACTTTCACTTTTCTTCAACATAGTACTGGAAGTCCTAGCCACAGCAATCAGACAAGATAAAGAAATAAAAGGCAGCCGAACGGGAAAGGATGAAGTAAAACTGCCATTATTTGCAGATGACATAATACTATATAGAGAGAAACCCAAAGATTCCACAACAAAAACTATTAGAACTGATAAATGGATTTAGTAAAATAGCAGGATACAAAATTAATATTCATAAATTGGTGACATTTTTATACACCAATAACAAACTATCAGAGATATTAGGAAAACAATCCCATTTACAATTGCATTAAAAAAAACACACAAGAAAAAACAAAAACAAAACAAAAAACTTATGAAGAAATTTAACCAAGGAAGTAAAAGACCTGTACTAAGAAAATTATAAGACACTGGAGAAATTAAAGATACAGATAAATGGAAACATATACCATGCTCATAAACACGATGAAGTAATGTAGTTAAAATGTCTATCCTACCCAAAGCACTCTATAGATACAATGCAATCCCTATCAAAATACCAATAGCATTTTTCACAAAACTAGAATAATCCTGAAATTTATATGGAACCATAAAAGACCTGAATAGCTACAACAATCCAGAGAAAGAAGAACATAACTGGAGGTATCATGCTATCTGATATTAAATTATACTACAAGGCCATAGTAATCAAAACAGCATGGTATTGGGACTGGCTGAGTGACTCAGTTGGTTAAGAGTGCGAGCTCTGAGCAACAGGGTGCCGGTTCGAATCCCACATGGGCCAGTGAGCTGCGCCCGAGTTGAGCTGCCAACAGGTGGCAGGATGGCTCAGCTGGTGAGAGCACATGCTCCTAACAACAAGGTTGACGGTTCAACTCTCACATTGGAATGGTGGACTATGCCCACCCACAACTAAGATTGAACACGGCACCTCCACATCTAAGATTTAAGGACAACTTGGCTGTTCCCCTTCCCCAATTCCCCAACACTGTTCCCCTTCTCCAATTCCCCAATAAAATCTTAAAAAACAAACAAACAAAAAACCAGCATGGTATTGGCATAAAAACAGACACATTAATGGAGTCTAAGAGAGAGCTCAGAAATAAATCCATGCCTGTATGGTCATTTAATCTATGACAAAGGAAGCAAGAATATACAGTGGGGTAAAGACAGTCTATTCAATAAATTGTGATGGGAAAACTGGACAGATACATGCAAAAAAATGAAACTGGACCACCTTCTTACACCATATACAAGGATAAACTAAAAATAGATTAAATGTAAGATGAGAAACCATAAAACTCCCAGAAGAAAATAGAAGTATAGAAAGTAAACTCTCAGATGTTACCCTTAGAAATTTTTTTATTGATATAGCTCCTAGGACAAGGGAAACAAAGAACAAACAAAAAAATGGGACTACATCAAACTAAAATAAGTTTTTGCACAGTGAAGGAAACCATCAACAAAATGAAAAGACATCCTACTGAATGGGAGAAGATATTTGCTAATGATATATCTGATAAGAGGTTAATATCCAAAATTTATAAAAAATTCATACAACTCAACACCAAAAAAAACAAACAATCCACTTAAAAAATGGGCAGAGGTGGCTGGCCAAGAGGCTCAGTTGGTTAAGAGCTCGCTCAAGAGTGTGAGCTCTGAGCAACAGGGTCGCCAGTTCGATTCACGGCCCAAGCTGAGCTGCTGCTGAGCTGCCAACAGGTGGCAGAGTGGCTCAGGTAAAAAAAACAAAATGGGCAGAGGACATGAATAGACATTTCTTCAAAGAGGACATACAGATGGCTAATAGACATATGAAAAGATGTTCAACGTCACTAATCATCAGAGAAATGCAAATAAAAACCACAATAAGATATCACCTCACTCCTGTCAGAATGGCTATCATCAATAAATCAACAAACAAATGTTAGTGAGATGTGGAGAAAAGGGAACCTTTGTGCACTGTTGGTGGGATTGCCAATTGGTGTAGCCACTATGGAAAACAATATGGAGGTTTCTCAGAAAATTAAAAATAGAACTGCATTATGACCCAGCAATTTTACTCCTGGATATTTATCAAAAAAACTCCAAAACACTAATTCAAAAAGATATATGCACCCCTATGTTTACTGCAGTGCTATTCATGACAGCCAAGATATGGAAACAACCAAAATGCCCATCATTTGGATAAAGAAATTATAGTACATAATGGGTGCCAAAAAAATGTACACACCTGACTTGTATTCATCTTTTGTTATCTGTATATATTGAGTATTACAATTTTAATACAGTTTAATTCCTTCCTTAAAATGTGTATACATTTTTTTGGCCTCCTCTGTATATACAATGGAGTATGATTACTCTGCCATAAAAAAGAATGAAATTTTACCATTCACAAAAACATGGATGGAACTAGTGGGTATTATGCTAAAATAAGTCAGCCTGAGGAAATACAAATACTATATGATCTCACTTATATATGGAATCTAAAGAACAGAATAAACAAACAAACAAAACAGAAATGGACTCATAGATATAGAGTGAACTGTTGGTTGCCAGATGGCAGGGGAATTAAGGGGATGGGTGAGAAAGGTAAAGAGATTAAGAAGTAAAAACTGGTTAAAAAAAAAGAAGTAAAAATTGGTAGTTACAAAATAGTCACAGGGATGTGAAAACCAGTGTGGGAAATATAGTTAATAATATTATAAAAACTATGTGTAGTATCAGATGGTACTAGACTTATTGGGGGGAATCACTTCATAAATTATATATATGCCTAACCACTACGCTGTACACCTGAAACTCATAGAAAATAATGTTGAATGTCAACTATAGTTTAAAAATATATATGCAGTCATGGAATGTAAAGTATAGTATAGGGAATATAGTCAATAGTATTGTAATAGCTATGTATGGTGTCAGATGGGTAGTAGACTTGTTAGGGTTATCACTTTGTGAAGTAAATGTCTGATCACTATGTTGTTTTTGTACACCTGAAACTAATTAAAAAAAAAAAAAAGAAAGGAAGAGCTCTCAAATGTGTAAAGACACAGAGAATAAAACCTACCATTATGGAATACATGTGAATATACTTAGCATATAATACATTTTTATTTCTAGGCCATTCTTTGGGAGAAACTAAAAATTGTTCTAGATGTGGCTTGAAATTGTACAATCTACATTTTTATAAATACCAGATGAAAAGGGGATAGGAATTCTGAGGGGAAATGATGAACTTGGGAAATGTAAGATAAGCAGTCTTCACCAAGGACTTCACTTGGCAAACTTGCAATCTGTGTTATTATTTCACTGAGTACTTAACATCTACAATAAAAAAACTGAACTTGCTGCATAGAACACCAAAGTCATGCCCAATGACTCAGCAGACCAAGGACCACCACACAGCAGTGCTTAAACAACACTCAAAAAGTGACATACTGGCTCACTCTTTTCATTGGGTTAAAAAGGAGATATGCTGGGGCCGGCCGAGTGGCGCGATGGTTAAGAACTCGCTTGGGATGCCAGAGGGCCCCAGTTCGGATCCCACATACGAGGGCCAGTTACACTGCCCTCCACAGCTAAGATGCTGAACAACAGCTCAACCTGGAGCTGGGCTGCCGTGAGTCGCCGGCGACGGCGTGGGCTGCAGCCCCTGTTGCGGTGAGTTGCCATGGGCTGCCGTGTGTAGCCAGCGGCCAGCGTGAGCGGCCAGCAGCCGCACTGAGCGGCCATCCAGAAGCCGGCGACTGAACTGCTTCACCCGGGAAGAGTGCAATGATGGTGCCAACTTGGGCCGGTGAAGCAATGTCCTCCACAACTAGACTGAACAACAAAAGGACAGCAACTTGTCTGTTCCCCTTCCCCTAATTCCCCAGCACTGTTCCCATCCCCCCAATTTCCCAATAAAAATCTTTAAAAAAAAAAAAAAGGAGATTCTGACCCAGCTTATTAAATAAAGTAGGAAGGCTGGAATGGTAATTACAGTATACAGCCAACAGAAATTGGACTAGTCTTAGAAAAGTATGGAACACTCACAGGAATTTGCAATGTAAATCTATCTTAATAAATTATACCACTTTTACTTTAAATCATGACTTCTAATAATTCAGTTACGTGTTCAAGCTAATGCCAATGGAGTAAAACCAACAAAGGTAATCTCACTTCATTCCAGTATGGAAGGTGATGCGCCACTGTGTTTACATGACTCATATCTAGCTGCTCATAAAACAATTCACAAAATTAAAACTCTCTCATGCATGACCCAAATCGAACTCTACTAGAAAAGGCCTACAAACGTATTTGAGAAATTTTTAAAATACTGATTTTATGAGGAAAGCAAAGCCATCGTACCTAGATGGGTATAAAGCCTTCTTGTCTTTGAAGAGTTCACTGGCTTCCAGTTTCTCTTCATAAATAAGTTTCTGCTGGTCTGTGAATTGATCCCTGTATTTTTTACACTGTGAGATATGAAGAAAGGGGGAGGGAAAAGTGAGATATTGCTTATATAAATAAACCATTACTCATTCTTACATATAATAAGCCAATTTTACAGCAGCGAGAATAAGAGTAAATGTGTACGAAATATTCATTTGAAAGGCCGACCGCGGTTTTCCTTTGTGGGTTTTATTGCTTATACTGCAGAACTTGGGACACTTCTTCAAAACATGCAAAGGCCCTGCTGGCATAGGCCTTGCTGAGTGTGCTGTTTCCTCACACTATGATGTCAGTCCCTGGACATGCTTCAGTGCCGAGGCTGCCACGCTCTTCTAAGAGATGCACAGCAAGGAAAACATCGTACAGCCCAGTCCAGGGCACACATTTACACACACATATATAGTCAACTGACACAAAAGCTTCACGAAACAATACTCACGTAGCCTTTCAATTTGTCATGTCCTCTTACTATGTTCTATTCGATTCTATTTCATTTAAGCATGTTGGTAGTGGCCTCTACATTGATTTCATGACCCACAAATGTGCTATGACCTGTAGTTTGGAAACCACTGTTCAAAATGTCCCACTATCATTTTTACAATGTGGACGTGAGACCTTAGGAATCCCCTCTTCACCCCGATTCTGAGACTGCACGGAAAGGAGACACAGGGTGGTGGGAGGGCAGGGCCAGGTTTTTTAGATGAACGCTCTAAGGCAGCAGTTCTCAACCTGTGGGTCGCGACTCCTTTGGGGGTCGAACGACCCTTTCACAGGGGTCGCCTAAGACCATCGGAAAACAAAAAGATATTTACATTATGATTCATAACAGTAGCAAAATTACAGTTATAGAGTAGCAACGAAAATAATTTTATGGTTGGGGGTCACCACAACATGAGGAACTGTATTAAGGGGTCACGGCATTAGGAAGGTTGAGAACCGCTGCTCTAAGGAATCCAGTTTCAGGTGTGGTTGAGAACCACTGACAACTGTATGAAGGAATGCTGGCACTGCTGCCCACCCTTTCAGGAATAACACATCCCTCTCATTCTCCAGCTCCCATCCAAGGGAGAGAAGGGTGAGATTCAGGGCCAGGGGAGGGCAGAGGCACAGCAGACCACCAGCACAAGCAGCTCCCCATGGCTATTGGGGAAAATAGTTTATGTCAGGCTCAAAAGGGGAGATGAACATCAAAACGTTGGTAACTCTCTCCAAACTGACTAAGTTAGGGAACAGATCTCAGAATCCAGTTCCACATTTTCTGCCGGTACCGATCATTACACTAATCAGTGAAGCTGTTGCTCTGTACATAGGTGATATGGGTAAGGAACAAGCCTCCATTGTTGGGTGGGAAAGTTTCCCAGATGTATCTATTAATCATTCACTTACTAGATATAAGGCCTTCAATCTAATGGTTTTATTATATCTGACAACTATATGTGTTTAGCGTTCCGCTTATCAACTAAGTTATTGAAATAAGGTCAACATCTATACAAGTACGCCATGTATCCCATGCTGAGCAACACCTAAACTGCATGTTATGTTCTCATATAAAATTAAGTGAGCCAAAATGTAAGGCAACATCAAATAGATTTTCAGCTTCCCTTTAATTCAGGTAGAAAAATATTTTAATGTCTTTGAGGGGCTTTTAAAGTGTTTTTTCCAGTCCATCAAAATGTGTGTGCACATTTATGTCCGTGTATGTGTTCAATAAATCTTACAAAAGTAAACTCATATAATTTGCAGAATTTAACTATATCATGTAAAGATGTTCAAACTTAATTATTTCTATCTCCTCTTGTATTATTCCTTCAGATAGGATGGAAAAAACAAAGAAAAACCTGAACTACTTGAAAGCAACTGGAATATGAAAGGGAAAGACAGGGCAGTCATGCCTCCACCCACCCACCTTTCCAGACATGGGGGAGAGGAGACCACCAGGGAACGCCTGGCTGCTCTAGGATTTCTCACGGAAAGCCAAGTACAATGCATGATTCAAAATACCAAAGTCCTCAAGTAACTCTCCTCCAAGCTAGAATAAGAAAGTGGTAAAAATCTGCTTCTGCATAACACCTCTCAAACGCTCAAAATATATGGTAAGAAGTCCCTTAAAAAAACATAACAAGACATTTTTACCCTCCACAAGTGGAAAATCCTTTTTAGCTCCTTGTGAGTAGAATCCAAGAATAGGTAAGGTCTTGATGGCCAATTCTTGTCTATTGGAGATAAGGAAGGCATCTTATTTTTCATTTCCAAGAAGTATTTTTGCATCTGTGTTGGGTTTGACAAAAAATACCAGATGAGTAAAATATACCAGAAAACATATTGTTTTACATAAACCAGAATTAAACAAAGCAGTCTTTAGTGGAATCCAGCAAGTTTTAGTTCACAAAATATTGTAAATGCTCTGAAAAGTCTCTATTCTACTCTTCATGTTGGTTTGGGAATCAAATGGTTAAGAGAAAAGAACACTGACATGAATGCTAACACTAAAGAGCTGTACTGTTTTAGCCACTAGTCATATGTGGCTATTTACGGCTGTATATTTAATTTTAAGTAATTAAAATTAAATAAAATTTAAAATCCTGTTCATCAGTCACATTAGTTACATTTCAAGTACTCAATAGCCACAGGTGGCTAGCAGCTACTCTTCTGTACCACAAAGATATAAAACATTTTCATCACAACAGAAAGTTCTATTGGACAGCTCTGTTCTACTTACTATGCGCCAGGCACTGTAAGGGCTTTATGTTATCATTCCATTTTAATCCTTACAACAACTCTATGAGTTTAGTGCTATTATTATCATCCCTGTTTTATAGATAATGCAATGAGGCTCATAGACATTAAAGAACTTGGCTCGAGTCACACATCTATACGTGGCAGAGTACGCTGGCTCCAGGGTCTCATCACTACAAATACTTCTCTGTAAGGCAGAGGGGACTTCAGAGTCTGTCCTGGCAGAGTGGAACAGCCTTGTACTCCTTCACCCCTCGACCCACTAACTTGTTCACCAAGCTTTTCTTGCTGCAGTAGTTTATAGGGCAAGACCTCCATATTTCCCCCAAATTCCTAACCCCCAATGGGATGACATTAGGAGATGGGGCCTCTAGGAGGTAATCAGGTTTCGACAAGGTCATAAGGGGAGAACTCCCATGACGAGGTTAGGGCCCTTCTAAGAAAAGGCAGGAAAAGTTTGCTTCTCTTCCTCTGCCACGTGAAGAGAACAGGGAGAGGCCCTCACTATGCTGGCACCCTGATTTTGGGCTGCCCAGCCTCCAGATGTGTAAGAAATAAATGTTTCTAATTTACGCCCCCTAGTCTATGGGATTTTTGTTATAGCCGCCTGAACTAAGACACCCGGCTTTCTTGAGTTCACTCACTTTCCCAAAAGTATTTTCTCTCTGTCAAATGAGAACATTTTATTAATTATATATGGGCCACAGATAACTCTTTTTGATACAGTTCTGCCTGAACTTGAATGGGAGATGATAAAAAAAAAGTCACAATCTCTCAGTGTCACAGTTATGATTTAACTGTTGCCAAGTCACATATTATAGAGTTGATCTTATTAACTATTTAATCCAATAATGCTAATGAGTCATATATAGAATGGAAACTTACAATTCGCTGAATTGTAAATTCATAAATTTTCTTTCCAGCGTTGGCTCTGAAGAATTTCCTGTACTCCCTACGTACCTTTAAAAAGAAACAGAATACAGTGAATAAGGCGTGGCCAGAAGATGCCCATACAGATGACACACCTCTATTCAAAATAAAAATAGGTGGAACAAATAAATTATAAGTGCCTCTCTGGATGTAGTAAAACAACTGAAGCCTACTGAGGCAGTGAATTTTAAGTCCGAGAAAAGGAAATTGAGAGATGCAAAGTGATAATACCAGAATGTTTTGATGTTTTAAATCCTCTTAACTAGTTTTTTTTTTAAAAACCTGATGATTTGATGAAAGACATTTTCAGGCATAGCTGCAAACTCATCACAAATCAAAATACATTTCAAAAAAATTACGTAAGGTAATTTTTACTTCAAATTGTTCTTAAAAGGCAAAACATGCCTGAAGAAGTATGCTGCAGTTTCTGAAAGCCTTACATATGAAGATAGGACCTCAGTACTACACACTGAGAACTGAAGGTGATTAAAAATAACAATTAAAAAAAAAAAAAAAGATTTGACCTACCACTATCTTCCATTTAATGGCATTGATTTTTCCCCTCATCCCTACTCCAACTAATCTTTCTACTGAATATTATCACTGCACTTAAGACATCATATCATAGTTTCAATTTACCTATTTCTTCTTTCCTACAGTCATATTCATATTTTATACTAATGTCTAACAAACAAAATAACTGAGTGAGGTGTTTGCTAAATGAAGGAATAATTAAATTTTGAAATTGAGGGAGGCATACTTAAATATTATTATCCAGCCATCAACTGAGTTAGAATTTAGTAAAATATTAGCCTATCTGAATAATACAGGCTTTATGTAACTTTCTCTTTTATCTTTAGTTTTCTCAGTTTAACTGAACATGTTCAAAGTATTAGATTAGGGAGTGTAAGCTAGCAACTTACTGAACCAAATTTAGTTTGTAGAAAAATGTTTTATATGCATATTTTAACTTAAGAACTTCACACAGGAATTCAGACTACAAGTTTCTCTTATTTTCTAAGATCTAGCAACAGTGAGCCCCAGCCCCACGTGACGAGGACTGAGTAAACCAGGGGAGCTGCTGCTGCCTTTAGAAGAGAGACGCATGCTCCAAATTGCATGAGGCCCCACTGTGCTAACCCACCTTCCATCTGCTACTTCTCTCCACCGTGTGGCCTGCCCAGTCCCTCTGGGCATTTGAAGGCCAGACTCTACACCTGCATATTACTGAGGTTTAAAACTTCTCCCACACAGGATACCGGCAGTCTTTCCTTCCTTTTATCCATATTCTGTTACTGATTGTCATCTCTCTTTGAGCCAAGGAGTTGTTATATTCATAACCATTTCAAACCTCAAATTTATAAAGTTAAGTAGAAGAGGTAAGGAGAAGAAAACAGTACCTATTAATTGGCTCCTGAAATTACAACAGCATAGGAAAATAAAGTTAAAGGGAGGTTTCGTGGAAAACATAGCCTTAGAAATATACTAGAAGTCCTACTTTATTTAGTTGAACATCATTATCACTGAGTTCATTGCAATATGCTTTTTGATAGTCTTAGGGCAGGCCCTTTTTCCTGAAATATCAGCTACATACAGAAAAGGCCTGGTGACAACATGTTGGCATAAAGAACAGGTTTCCCTTATGGACCCTAGAAGTCCTAAAAGGATCCATTGAATTTTGTACTCAATTCTACAAAAATGAAGTCATCTAAAAGGGCAAAACTCCTGTTCATTATCAACATAATTCTTTATAATAAAAAGTATAAAATTATTATATTCTTGGACTTCAAAGAAGCTTAACCTTATTTCTTAACAATAATAATGGTAACACTTAAATAACTTCTGTTTTGTTGGAAACTGGAAAAAAAAGCTATGTCTAGGTAGTCCAGATAACCAGCTAAAACAGCATTCACCTACAAACTGAATTTGGTTTATAGGTTGCTAACACACACTCCTTATATGAAAGTATTTTTGAAATCACATAGTTAGTTAAACCCAGAAAACTGAAGATAAATGTGATACTGCTGGTAGAAGTCATCACAGAGAGTAAAAATCCTGACCCAATGTTGTCTGTTCCTTCCTCTTATGAAAGTTAGAATGCAAATTAGAACACGTGAATGAAATGGGAAATAAAATCCTTAGTTTTGATTTTTAAAAAATAGTAGGTATAGAACTTATTCAAATATCTTGAAACAGAACATCTTAGATTCATATTTAAATTATTTCTTAATTACTTCAGAAATTGCTTGATGAATATTCAATATAATCACAAAGGTTAATCTACTAAAAGTTTATAGGCTAAACTTTCAGAAAAAAATGCAGATTGTTCAAAGCAGCGTTTATGGATACTGCTAACGGTGTTCAGACTCAGAGTCGATAGTTTCCTGGATAATATTCAAATATCTAGAAAAAGATGAATTGTTATAGTATTGAAGTAAAAATAACAAAGAGGAATAGTATCAAAAAAAGGGCCTAATTATTCCAAAAAGACAATATGGATGGCTCCTTATGGTGATGAGTTGTTAAGTATTAGGAAGACAAAATCCTTATGCTGTCTAAAGGTTTTTCCAAGCTCAGGATCATATTTACTTATGTGCATCCTTACCTCAAGTAGTAAGCACCGCTTTGAAACAAACCATGCCCTAAATTAGAAGCCACTTGACGCTAACGTTCTCTTTAACCTGAATGATCCACTGCTCATCTTATTCGTCAAAATCTGTACATTTAAGCAAAACTGTTTCGGTTCTATGCTGAACAATTAGAATGATGGTCATTTTGAAGAAAGCTCTGCTCCAGGAGCCATCATTGGAGCAGAATAGGCAGATAAAGAGAAACAAAAAGCTGATAACCCCCAGCTGGTCACTGCAGATGGTGGGTCAGTTTTTAGCTTATCTATTAGTAATCGTCTCATGAATAAAAAAATAATAATAAATAAAAATAAAGAAAGGCACTTCATCCTCCTAAAGATAGTATAAAACAGAAATTGGATAACAAAATGTCTTGGATAAAATATGCTATATTGCTATTACTTTAAACCTATTATTTAAAGAAATACACCAGAATAAAAATCAGAAAACATTAGTGTACATGTCTGTTCTCAAAAAGGAACACAATTAGGCAAGATGCCATTGTAAAAGACTGTGCAGACCGTCAGCAAGCATAATCAATCATTTTCTCGGGGTTAGTAGGCGCTAGGCTTTATTGAGTTCACCCTGGGCAGAAAGAAGGGGTTGAGGAAGTACCTTCAGTCCAAGCCAGTAAGCCCAAATGACAGCAACTGCATGCTTACGCCTAGCCTCCTCCTTCAAGCGTTTCAACTCCCTTCGAGCCTAGAATGTTTTAGATGGTAAATAAAAGAGCCCAATGCAGACAGCACAAACGACCAGAAAGACACCCCACCAAATAGAAGCGCGAATTTATGAATAAGGATTTCAGAATGATAGAGGAACTGTGCATAATCATTTCAACCCAAAGAATCAGTGTCAGGCTGGTGCAGTCCATTGCATTTTTAGTGTATTGAGATTCTGTTCCAGGGAGGGCAATCTGTGTGGTGCCCGAGGTAAGCACTCCTCCGCCCATTACTTCCATTCTTTTCCCTGTTCCTCCCGTTTTTACAACCTCCCTTATCAAAGCCTCAGAACTATGAGTGGCTCCTAATAATTTCAGTAGACCTCTCTTTGCTGCCAGGAAGGGTGGAAAGAAGCGGGGGGGCGCTAAAGAGCAATTCCTGAGTTCATTCATCTGGACGTAAAAAAAGACATCTCTTGTGAACAACCATTTAGAAAATTTGAAGGAATAAAGGTTGTTCCTCTGAAGTTCAAACAAAAACTCAAAGTGATTTCCAGTTAGAAAATTGGAAGTAGCATGTATCAAAATTCAATATTAGCTAAGGCCCCAAACTAGAAACTATACTGAAGCAAGTTAAAAAAAAAAAATGATACAACTTATAGGTTTAAAAATTAATCAAAGCATGTTATTTTTAAAGGCAGAAATAGGCGCCGATTTCTTATTATACGGTAGTCCTGAAACTGGGAAATGAGCTCACTCAGTGCAGAAATCCCAGGGCTAACTGTCTGAGAGTCCCTCTGCCTCTGCTAGGACACTGTCCTCTGCTTACTAAAGGGGCTAGTTTGTTCTTCACCGATTTTCAAGGGAAAACACCCAATGAACAACTTTGGTGCGTTTTTGGTAAATGAAGATCTTTACAAAGGCAAAATGTTTACTTTTCTCATTTTTCTCACAAGATGAGCTTATAATGCTGACAAGGTAGACTCAAAAACATAGATGGAAGGACAATAATTTGGCTGTTCCCCTTCCCCAATTCCCCAACACTGTTCCCCTCCCCCAACTGCCCAATAAAAAAATAAAAAAATAATAATAAAATAAAATGCATATACCCTATCACCCTGCAATTTGGTGAGATACTATGGAACTGTTTAAAAACAAAAACAAAAACATAGGACTACGTGGATAATTGTGTTTCTAATCGGATTACACATTTTTAGCAGAGATGACCTTTGATTTTCTAAGTAACAAAAACATCTAAAACTCTTGTCCCTTGGGGTATGTGAAATGTTCACTGAGCCCACGACTCTGCCTGGGGATTAGTGAGAGCATGTCAGGAGGCCTTTGTTTCTGAAACAAATAGCTGATGCTGAAATTCCTGGGATGCTTCAGTGGCAATGAGAGCTAGCTTTGCATGAATATAGCCTTCTGTTAAATCGCTGATGATAATTCTCTCCACATATAACATTTTGCTTATAATCATCAATAGCTGCTACAGTGAGCCTACAAAAGTTTCATTCACGGATTAATTTGTTTTAAGGCATGCGTTAAAGGGGTTTCCATTGTCAACACGTTGCAGAAGACCAACTGAGGCCCAAATCTGAACATCTTCAGCATGCCCCCCACACAAAAATACCTCTAGAAAACTGCCAGTATATGTCAGGGGGAAAAAAGAAAAAAAAGAGGAAAAAAAAAAAAAAAGGAAAAACTACACATGCATGTTACTTGAGAGTTTTTAAAAAACAGCAACTACACTAGTACCTCATTAGTAAGCAATTAGTCTTTTTTGCCTAGACATGCTTAAGCATCCTACCGTGCACTACTGATGCTAACACCTCCAGGTTTGTTAAATCCAGCTACTAGGACGTGCACCAGTATGAGTCACTGTTAATTGTAGTCATTCATCCCCTGATATGCTAGAACTACGGATGGATTACTTCAGATTCCAGGATGAAGTGATGGGATGTGCATATCAAGTACCTTAGATCCAAGCCAGTAAGCCCAAATTACTGCAATAGCATGTTTATTCCTAGCCTCCTCCTTCAGCCGGCTCAGTTCCCTTCGCGCCTGTGATGCATTTGAAAAGGAGTTACAGAAAAGTTTAAGGCAAGAAAGGTTACTGCTGATTTTTTCAATGGAGAAAGGAGAAGACAAGACACCGGTCACCACCAAACAGTAAACGCGAAAGAAAGCGTGTGCCACCACCCCACACCAAAATGTTGGAAAGAGCGGGAGGCAAATGCGTGCTCAGTAGCTTAAGCCAGTGAAACATTTTTCTGCCCCCCGCCCACAACACAATGTCCGTTGTTCCACGTTACTCCCGACCCCCTGCCTTCCTGGGCACCGTCTCTGGCCTACCTGGGTACCATGCCAATAGGCAGCAATGGTGGTAGCTGCTTCCTCACAGCGCTTTTGATGCTTCAGTTCCCGCAGGATTTTTCTGGCCTAAGGTGCAGAATCATCCAGAAAAATAGCAAGTTAACCAAAAAATGGAATCCATAGTGACTTAAAAAAAAAAAAATACCTGAAGAGACAGCCATACTACCCATCCTCAAGTGAAAAATCAGTAACTTAAAAAAAGGAAAAAGGGAAGTTGCTTATTAGTCCCAAACAAACTACGAGAAAGTGGTAAATGAAAACATCACCAAGTACAACAGTGTAGCCCCCAACTCGGACTGGGACAGCAGCCTCCCATGCTCTAATATGTGACAGGAAAAAAAAAATCTGACCACAGCAACATAAGCTGGTGCTCATCAGATAAAAGAAGCAGTTGTCAGAATGAGGGTGGAGGGTCTCCAATAATCCACCAAAATCTATTTGTCACTTCTATTATTGTTGTCTGGGGCTATAACTGTAGCTATACTTTTAATTCAATGTAAAAATTTGCTAAGATAAAATCCTCACTGGTCCCGGGCCGGCCGAGTGGCTCAGTTGGTTAAGAGCTCGCTCAAGGGTTTGAGCTCTGAGCAACAGCGGTTCAAGTCCAGCCTGAGCTGAGCAGCCGCTGAGCTGCCAACAGGTAGCAGGATAGCTCAGCTAAAAAAAAAAAAAAAAAAAATCCTCACTGGTCCCAAACCAGTGGCTTCTTTCCAGTAGCTTCTGGAACCTGATTTCGTGGGGACCAGAATACCTGGTTTGGAGGTGGACTCTGAGTCCTGCCTCTGATGTCTCTAGATTGGAGACCTGGAGCCCAGGACTCAGCAGGTAGGTCAAAGAAGGCAGCAATTTCACTTACTCTCCATGCTCGGATTAGTACTTTGGCATTTGCTGTGGGACAACTGCCAAGCCCTTGGGTTGCCCGCAGGCCTAGGCAAAGGTCAGATGATGCCACTGGACTCCTGGCCCAGGGCTCTACCCTCTAAAAGTGTTCTGGGCCTGGGAACCTCCAGGTAGCCCCACCGGATCCAGGCCACTGCACAAAACCTCCCAACTGGGCAGTGGTCAGAACGGGCCCTGAAGTGTCTTTGACCCAGAGCAGGGGTTAGTACATTTTTTCTGTAAAAGGCCAGATGGTTAAGAATTTTTAGCTTTGCAGGTCACATGTTCTCTGTCACTACTACTCAACTCTGCCACTGTAGCACTAACTAATGCAGACACAAACAAGTGTAAAAGAAACGAGTGCAGTTCATAGCAATAAAACTTCATTTGCATGAACTTTGTATTTCCTATGTGTATGTATTTATACGAAAAGTGTATTTCATATAATTTTTACATGTCACAAAATAGTCTTTTTTGTCTTTTTTATCTGTCTTTTTAACAGTGCTTTAAAAATAGAAAAACCATCCTTAGCTCTCAGGCTGTGTGAAATCAGGAGATAAGCTAAAATTGGCCTGTGGGCCGTAGTTTGCTGACCCCAGGACCAAGCCTTGGAAGAATGGACCCAGAACACAGTCCCCCAAGGTGAACCCTGGTAGAATGGATGGCCCAAGCTCAGAATCTTTCGATCATTACGGGGCAGCCTGCAGGATAGTTATTGGGAAGTTATGAAAGGTGCTGCTGGGCTGGGTGTGCTGAGGTCTGGCAGGATTCACAGATGGGGAGGCAACAGTGTGAGACCACCTTCAGGACTATAGCTTCCCTCACAAACGGGGCCAGAAGATACTGAAATCATGTACGGAATTACTTCAAGGGCTTCCTGCTCAGAGAACAAAGCTCTTGAAAAGAAAGCGGTTAGAAGGAAGCAGCCAAGACATGGTCACAAACGCCCAAGCTCGGCCCCATAATATTTATTCTTTCGACCCGACTGTTTACAGAGAGGCAGATGAGGAGCTCTCCCCTGCAGCGTGAGCCCACAGACATCATCCTTTGTGAAGAACCTGAAAACCCCACACAAATAAGGCTCACTTCTTTTAAACTCACCTTCCAACCCCGGATATAAGACTGAATTACCAAGGCAGAACTCTTTATCTGTTGATACCTCTTTTGTTGCTGTAGGATAAAAGGAAAATATTATTAGCAGCTCTATTTATATATCTGTAATACATATGCTGCCAGGATTAAGAAAGAGTATCTGCTCACTAAGTGCAATTAACTTTTGATCACCCGTCTTTCTTCTGGGAATCAACATGTAAAGAAATTAAAATATTAAACAATCTAAAATTACTACAGGCATACCCCGTTTTATTGTGCTTTGTTTTATTGCACTTCGCAGATACTGCGTTTTCATCAGCATTGAGGCAAGACCTTCCACCAGCAAAAAGATTACAAGTTGCTGAAGGCTCAGATGGTGATTATTTTTTAATTAAAATGAGAGCTTCCCAAGACTCTAGGCTAATTTTGGAAGATCAGAGGAAAGGGAGGGTGATGTTATCAACACTTGAGCAGCAGAAAGAGGATACCAGAGAGAAGGGCAAAGAGAACACTGAGACCTTGGAAAAGTCACTACCTTCTCTGGGCCTCCGTTTCCACATCTGTCAAATGAGGAGCCGGAAAATCTCTAAGGCTCCTCACAGAGTAATACTCTACGGCTGCAGAAACAAACTTGTCCTATAATATCTGACCATCTCTTCTGACATCCATTTGGTACTACCTCCATCTTTTCTTTTTTAATCCCTAAATGGCCTGAAAATAACTTCGTCTCATTAAAACTGATCTCAAGGAACCATGAAATATCACAAAATACGGATTTTAAAAGAATCAGTAACTGAAAAAGGGCATTCAGAAAAATATTTGAGTTATTTGGTTGTGGGGAAATATTGAGTTTAACTACGGGCTTGGATAACATGTTAGTTAACTGGTTGAGGTATTTGGTTCAAATTCTGAAACAGATATGACACTAGAGCAAAATTTATATTTTTCTAAAAACTAGGCTAGTATTTGTTTCGTTCTACAAACAGCATTATAAATAATATTGCTTGTAACTCTTACCATCATGAATTAATGATTCATATGGTGACTTTTTGTTCATCTGGAGCTACAACATCACTTGCTATTCTTGGTTCTTTGCTTTGGCTGTGTCTTCTCATCCTCCTGATGAATGACCCCTTTGAGAAGCTCTTCCTTTGCTATCCTACCTAAAGTTCTATCCTGGCTTCCCATTATTCTTTATCTCAGTTTTCTCTTTCCCTCTTAGCACTTATCACAACTGGTAACTGTTCCAATTATTCATTTGTTTAAATGCACATTGCCCTTCACTAAATATAAACTCTGTGAGGTCAGAAATTAGATTGTCTTGCTCACCTTGCCGTCCCCAGAGCTTAAATAAGTGTTTCAAATTATCTGTCGAATTCAAGACAGATGAATTCAGTATACTTCTAAATCGGATGTTCTTAATGATTTCAAAATGAGAATGACAAAAGGGTTTCCTTGAGAACTGATTATTTATTGGTCTTCCATTTCTCGGGCAAACAGAAAATAGAGCATTACGAGTCTGCAGAAGAGCCAAGTACCAATGCCATGTGCAGCCAGGCTAGGTGGCAACAGTCCTCTGTGCCTTTGCAGACTACATATGAATAAATTCATCATTAACGTGGCTGGATAGGTTCAGATTTTAACACTTCCATTGTTGATTATACTCTTAACTAGAGGAAGCAATCTTAAAAATACTCTTTTAAAGACCAAGCAATTATTCTTTAGCTTAATCATTTAAGAATCTCATTAATTTCTAAAACTTGGATATAAACACTAAAATGTATTACATGAGAACAGGTCAGCATAAATTATGTCCTGATTATACACTGCTTTATATCAAAACTCTCTATGGCTGAAAAAGAGGAAGAACACTGTAAAGGAGCTTTGGCAGCAAACTGAATTCATTTTCCAACTCATTCTAGTGAAAAAGCATTTGGAAGTAGTGTTCTTATCACTAAAATTCTCTTTGTGAGAACAAACCCAAGTTCAAGCTAGCCTAAAGATAAACCTTCGGGATGTCCTCAAACCTGTGGTATGCCTCTGAAGAAACATATATAACCCAGTGAGAAAGGAAACTCCAAAAAGAAATTCCATATCAATTAAGTAGACATACTTTATTACTGAATCTTTTCCCATAATTAATAGGGCCAAATGTCAGAGGACCAAAGAAAAGCCAACCCTTCAAACCCAAAATTCTACTAAAATGTGGCATTAGCTTTCTGGAATTAAAGCCATTTTCAGTGTTGCTATAATAAATGGGAAACAATCAAGTATTTTGGAAAATTGACCCTCCCATAGTCAAAGGGATAAGGGACATTGTCTCCTTCAGTCTGATGACCCAATTCAAGATGCAGATTTCCCATTATATCTATATCAGTGGAAGGCAGTATGGAATACTAAACTTGACCTCTACAGCTGTCCTGGATTCAAATCCCACGTCTGCCCCTTGGCAGCTGTGTGACTGTGGGCAAGTTACGGAACGGTTCATGCCTTACTTTCCTTATCTTTTAAAAAGGGACCATAACAGCACCCATTTCATAAGACTGTTGGGAGAATCCAATATGTAAAAATGACATACCCAGTAAGTACATAACAAATATTTGCAAAAGACCGTCGTTATTACAGATTTTAAAAGGTGGGACTTACAGCGTATCTCCTGTACCAGGCAGCAATCACGATTTGGCTTTTTCTCATTAGCAGGAAGTGTGTGCGGCATTTCCACCCCCGATAAATCTTCTGAATGAGAGTGGCCAAGTCCTCAAGCCTTTGCTTCCTCAGGTCCTCTAATTTGAATAACTAATAAGAAATGATAGGTGCGTTTCTCGAAATTCCACCAACTACTCATGGCATACAAGAAAGACATTCTCAGGAGGTAAAATGTCATGATGTTAGAGTCAGCCACAATGAGAAAAAATTTGAATAACTGTCTTAATTAGAGATAATATGGGCACTAGTCCACGCAAAAACTATTTGGATGAATTCATACAAAACCCACAATTTAGATTCTGTGATTCAGCATTTATGACACATCAGAGAAGAGCTGACCTGAGCTTAGGTTCACCTGCACACTAACTATGAGGATGGAATCATTAATGAAAGGGAGACCCTTTCATTAATACTTCATTCTAGTTTATTCATTTATAAAAAGACTCCCTTGGAGTTCTGCTAAGTAGCATTTTAAGTTCTTTTTAACTTTCAAAAAATTTGGAGTGCCTACATGTACCTCTGAGTAATAGGGTTATCTTTCCTTAAAATATTAATTCAGATGGTACAAAGACAGGCTGAATTTACCTCCAATTCCTATGAATTGGGGAGGTTTTATTGTTTTATGAACAGTTTCTTTATGATTTCTTTCTTGTATAACTTATCAAAGACTTTGATGTTTCATAAAAAATGCACATGTTCTTTCCATTACCCCTTACTTGCCCATCCCTCTCTTGGACATTTGCAAATAAATAAAAGAATGTGGCATTCTTGGTAGCATCTTAGGCAATGTTATAAACAGCCTTAAGAACTTGCCTGTATGATTAAAATACAAGTTCAGATTGTAAAGGTTTTGATTACATACTGTTCTTGGGTTTCGGATGAAAATCTTTGATCTACCAAAAGAGTATTCTTCCACAGGAATCTCTAATTCATTAAACAGAACCTCCACACCAGCCCTATTTAAAAAAAAAAAAAATCAATAAAAACAAGTAAGTTTTCTGAGTTACAAAAATAGTTTATCTTATCTTAAATCATGACATCAGGTTCTCAGTGGTACCAAAAACTAGCTTCACTTCCAAGTGTACCTGCTCTTTCAGTAAGCATCCTTCTATCAAAGAATTATTAATACTAAATTTCACAAATTAAACTAAATCCAGTAAATGCTAAAAAAGTAAATGTGGGTTCAGAACCACATATGCTAAGAAAATGTGGTATTAGAGCCCATTTCTTGATTTCATTAGCAGAGGCAATACTTGTATCAAGTATATCCTTAACTAGCCAGGGCCAGGAGGGTATATAAGAAACTCAGATCTATTTTGAACTCACTCAGTTAATTCTTAAAAACATTTTAAACATTGTTCCTGCTCCTCACACTGTGTGCAGGGCTCAAGAAATAGTGCTAAGTACCAGACCAATGGGGTACAATGAAACATGGGCCTTATATGGTGGGAGTGTGGCCTGGAGTTGGCTCTGACCTGCCTCCATCCTGCACCCTGGTTTCAACATCAATCTTTCAAGTTCACTTTACCACACCAACCTGTGGATGAAGTGCCAGGCAGGCAGTGAATACATGTTCAGTGTATTGTGGCACATGTTAACCATAATACCCTGGAAATTAGCAGTGGGAACTGAAACAGTACCTAGATCCTACATTATTGGGGCATTGAATTCTGCATCGGAGACCACACCACGTGTCTGGAGTTTATCTTCTTGTCATATAGGGTGAGTGTCTAATAACTGCAAATGTTTCTGGGAAAAGCCAGGTCCACTGAGAATGTGAAGGTAACACCAGTAGAGTGAAATGAAAAACCCCCAAGTTCCTACCTAGGCCCATAAAACTGGCACGCCGGCTTCCTATTGTAGTCAGGAGAGCTTCTCTAGCTGGCAGAAAAGGGGTGCCTTCTCTGACTGGCGAAAGCAGAAAGGAAGTCACTACACAGGCAAGGCCTGGTTTCTCTTGGGCAGCAACCTACCTGCCAGCACACAAGCTCTCTCTGCATGTGAAGAGCTCACATGGGATGGGCCTGCACTGGTCCAGCACTCTGTCTGGGACTAGATGGGTGAGTCTAATTCATGGCAGATGAACTGAAAGCCATATGGCCCCAGGTTCTGCCATATTCTCCAATCCAGCTTTACTAGCAACAGCGCTGACACTTTGGACCCTATCGGCTCCTGTATCTATTTCTCAATTGGTGCAGGCCTGGGCAAAGAGTGGGACCCTCACCACCAACCACTGACTCTGGGGTTATTTCCCGGGGGGTGGTGGGGAGAAGAGACACGAAAAGCTGAGAGAAAAGCAAAAACCTGAGAGCAGTGATTCAAGATGCCTCTAACTTTTTATCCTTCTATGATTCTACAGAAATATACTTACCGGTTACAAATCCCCTCCTAACTTGACTTATTTTAAAAATTCTATTAACATACAAGTTCCAAATGTGGATTTGACCTTAAAGAAAATCAAGATTTCTATAACTGACCCTGTTTTGACCTTACAGAAAATCAAGACCTCTATAATTGATCAAGAATTAGCACAAAATGGTATCCTGATGGAAGAGGGTGAGAGATTACGTACAATTTTTCACAGAATTGCTTTGCCTAAGAGCATATATTAATTTTTTTAAAATGTCATTTGTATGCTTTAAAACTTCATTATTAAATATGACCAATGAATTTCTTACCTTGCTGGTCCTTTCCAGTGAGGCCATGTTTGCTTACAAAGCATTTTGTATCTTTCTAGGCAAGGTTCATAGGCCTGCCTGAAGGCATAGCCGGCCCTCCTCACTCGGACGTTCTCCAAGAGACCCAGGTACCTGATCTGATGACATACTAGAGCCTCATTGAAGATATGTGCTGCCTTTTTATCATTCGGTTTGATACACCTAAAAGATTACAAAGATTTTAGGTATTAAACTGCTTCTTACGGATATTTTCTGTCCATGTTCTACAAAGTACCCTATATTATTATTTTCTGGTGAGATATTTGTTATTCTTGAGAAACCTAGTCATTTCTTTGGAAATTATTACAAATCATTTTACAAAAACCTAAATTAATACAACACTACATACATAAACCACAATCCATACAATACCATGAGTGAATATCCCTCATTTTTTGCTGAATGAAAGAAGTCTGACATAAAAGAACACATATTTTGGGCCGGCCGAGTGGCTCAGTTGGTTAAGAGCTCGCTCAAGAGTGTGAGCTCTGAGCAACAGCGGCTCGAGTCCAGCCCGAGCTGAGCAGCCGCTGAGCTGCCAACAGGTAGCAGGATGGCTCAGCTTAAAAAAAAAACAAAACAAAACCAAAAATAAAACCACACACATATTTTATGATTCCATTTATATGGAGTTCAAGCAAAAGTAACCTATGGTTAGAAATCAGTATTGCTATTACCTCTGGGAAGAGGTAGGCGTAGAGATCAACAGGGGAGAGGCACAAGGGAACCTTTTGGAATGATGGAAATGTTTTATATCTTTGGATGGGGTTATGCAGGTGTATACATAAAAATTCAATAAGCTGTACAATTAAGATTCATGCACTTTGCTGTATTGTATGTATATTACAGACCTAAATAAAAAGATTAAAATCACTGCTCTCCCTATATCCCTGTATCTCTCTCATTTGCTGTCCAAGGAAAAGACTCCATTTCCCACCCTTCTTTGCAAGTAGGTGTGGCCATGTGACAAAATTCTGGCCACTAGGCTCAGAGCAAAAGTAATGTGTAACACTTCTCTGGGTGTGTCCTTAAAAAGATAGAGACTTGCCTTCCCTTTGCTCTTCTGCTAACTGCTCTTGGGGATTTTGACATGGTAGAGAGCCATCTTTGACCATGTGGAAGAGAGAAACTCCCTGGAAACTGCAAAGCCACAAAATAAAAGGAGCTGCTCTATTAGCCCTAGAGTTTTTATACTTAGAAGTTACATAAGAAATAAATATCAATCTTGTTTAAATCATTATTATTTTTGGATCTTATTGCAACAATCTCTATATCCTAATTAATACATTGTTAAATACTGATGGTTGTTTACCTAACTACAACTGTCAAATAAATTCCACATACACATACAATATGTGGACAATGAAATCTTACCAACTTTGGCCTTGATGTTTTATATGCTTTTCCTTTTATGTTCATAAAAATAATGTCCACTCTTTGGCTTAAGGACAGACAAACAGATGAATGAAACAGGCTAGTGAATTTAGATCTAAACTCCTACACATATATTCAATTGATTTGCAGTAAAAGCCTCAAGGCAAATGAAAACAAAATGGAAAATTTTTTCTTTTTAATATAAGGTGCTGGACTAACAGAATAACTATATGGAAAAATATAGACCTTAATATGAAATCTGAAACCATCAAGATTCTAGAAAAAAGATATAATATATTCGCAATCTTGGAGTTTATTAATACTTCTTAAAGACACATTAAAACCACTAAAAGGGAAGGGGAACTAAGGAACTGTCTGGAGTGATGGGATGTTCTGTCTTGACCTCAGTGGTGGTTACCTAAGTGTACACAATGGTGAAAAAATAACTGAGCCATTCACCTAGGACCTGTGCATATCACTTCATGTAAATTATACCTCAATAGAATTAAAAAAAAAAAAAGACATCCACTCAATTGAGAATAAGAAAATCAAGTGATCCAAAGGTTTTCCTGGATTATCTTCTTTTGAAACTAGGATTTTCACCAAATATATATTCTAACCTGATTGTAATTACACCAGGGGATTCTGCCTATTTATGTGTTATTAATATTAGATAACAAGCCACATACAAAAATGTTCTTCACCCTCGTTTCCGCAGAACTGAATTTTCAAAGACAACTATAGAAGGTATGTGTGGGTGTGCGAGTGCTATTATGAAATCTGACCCATTAGACACACACCTTATATTATCTAGTTCAACAAACACACATATAGCCTTAATCCTAGTTGGTCTTTACTGAATTTGGAGATCTAAGATGCCCTAGAAGCAGAAAAAAAGAGACCAGACGCTTTTCAAGGTCTCCTCTGTATTGCTTTGAAAAAAATTCATTGTTTCAGAAATCATTACGTTCTCAAGGCCCATAGTCTCATAGGAAAAAAAAGGGCACATATTTCCTAAAACCAGAACTATACTAAAGCCCCATTTGCTTCAGTGCTCTAAGTTAATATAATAAGAATCTAAAATGAATCCAACAAAACTTTTATGTAACATCCTTGACAGAAAAAAATTCATTTTTTTGTTTCTTGCCATTTAAAAAGATATACAGAAAGTTGCGAATCCCGATGTGCCAACAACCCAATTTCATTAAGTATCTATTCCTATCCCCTGCCACACTTTTCCAGCCTTTTAAAAATTCCTTATTTGGGGGGGAAAGGGGACACGGAGTATTTTTTAAGCAAACCCAAAATACCATATTATTTGATCTATAAGTACTTGAGTTATCCTCTGTTTGGGCTACACTCAGATTTAAGCACACAGGAAAATGATCTTCCTTGAGAGTGCCTTCACATTCGAACTGTCAAAGTTTTTGTGCCAGAAATACCTAATGTAGTTTGGATTCTTGGTCTGCAGGTTTTTCATCAAAGTGGCCACAGATGCCTTGAACTGTGAGCCCGCCGTAGGAGGTCTTTTCAGGTTGATCTTGGCAGGGTTCCCTTCAGGGAATAAAGACTTAATAAGGGCATGGCCAGCTTTCCACATGGCTTGGGACAGGTCTCTGTAGAGAAGGTCATTGTTTTTGTCAACAAATCCTTCCACCTGGTACAGCACCTATGAGCAACACACGAGACTCAATGACTGACATAATGCAAGCTAGAACATCAAACTACTGTTAAAAAATGTTCCAGGGTTATCTATATTGCAGCCTCTTCTTTTTCCACCAAATCCCCAACACATTAGTCACACTGTAACACTAATTAGCCTCCAAGCTTAAATTCCATCTGTAAATCACAGAAGAGTTTAAAATAAATTCTATTACCCTTCAGGATCAGCAAGAATAAACTCCAAAAATGTTATCATAACATTTTCAAAAGATTTTTTTTTTTGGTGTTTGAGCACATTTTTGAGGTTTTACTTTTATTTTTTAGTTCATATGTGCCAGTTCTAGTCTGTTTAAAGGCAGACAGGGAGGAATAAAAGAGAGATTAACATTGAATTTTCAAAGACATCCCAAGCTAGCAGCAAAATTAACCAGGAAAGTATGTTTTTAACAATATAGGCTAATGGAAAAAGAGATATAAAGTTCCAAAATTGTGAAATTAAAGGTGATTCAGATACTATACACTGACTTCATTTTACTAACATAAATACATAGTTGAAAATTTTTTCCCTTTTAAGTTTTCTTATGTATAAGAAAGGAGCTATTAGCTCCAATCCATAATCTTTTAGGATTCTAAAAATTAATCAATTGTCAAATTGTTTTTAACATTATCTTTATATATTAGGTAACATAAATTCTCCCAAACATTTAGCAAGTGAATGTGTTTTGTAAAAAAAGTAGATATTTTCCCCAGTCATTTCAAAATCTCAATCTAAGAATTTATTAGTTTTGCTTAAATGGTTTGTGCTTTTAAAACCTTATTGCAAGTCTTTAGTGACTCAATTTTTATTGCCAAATCCCCTTTATTAGCGTTGCTAGATCTTTTTTTGTAGGATACCTTACAGATTGAAAATAATAAAATCAATTTTTTAAAATACATTCAAACTCTTTCACCAAGTTCACGGGCTTTCCTTTCAGCTATGAGTATTAATAAGATTTTGCTTAACATGGTCCAGATTCTATTTCTACTGAACCTTAACTGATTCCACTATTTAAAAAAAAAAAATGTTGGTTTTTTTGTTTGTTTGTTTTTTCAATTACAGTTGACATTCAATATATTAGTTTCAGGTATATCACATAGTGGTTAGACATTTATATAACTTATGAAGTTATAGACGTCTAGTACCTACGCAATACATACATAGTTATTACAGTATTATTGGCTATATTCCTTTGATTCTACTATTTTAGCAGCTCCGTTTATCTCACAAGTTGGCAGTGGTCAGAATGCCATCTCTAAGGCACAGTTTCCTAGAAGGAATAACCCTACAGGACCAAATGGGTGTTCACAGCTCCCTCATACCTTGCCAGCGTAATGCTGAATTCTGAAACAGCTGTGAGGCAGGGACGTGTCATTGAGGAAGCGAGAACACTTGCTCATCCTGCTCTCAAAGTGCTGGTGGGTGGCACAGACTTGGTTCAGCTTTTCTAAGAAGGTCTCATCAGTGACCGTGCCAGGCCTCAGGCACTCTTCATCCAGCATGGCCAGGATCCCATTTGTGTGCTGGGAGGAAGGAAATAAAAAGGTTTCCTTCCTTCCTCACTGCATTGTTTTAATCATTATTCCTAAGTACACCATCAAACACAATTCGCTTAAGTCACAAGAAAATTCCGTTCAGTTACAACAAAAAGCTGAGAATCAAAACAAATACCAGAAAGCCACAGAAGTCGGCCCTTTTCCAGTGTCCCAGGTGTGTGGATGTGGGAAGTGGGGGCATGTACTGGTCTCTCCCCCCAGCTCCTGGTCCGCTCCCCGGACAGAACAGGACTTAGCAGCCACCTCAGCCACCTCAGCTGGCTAATGACTGAAGTTCATATTGTTAGAAAAAGGCAAGTTAGACCTCAAAGATTCAAAGACAAATCTAAAAGTCAGAAACTAACGAGACTAGTCTGTAACACGTGGTCATAAATCACAAAGCACGGTTTTCCAAGGCCATTATTCGAGTCATAGCTTGAGAAGGAAATTGGTTTCAGATGTTCTTGTGTTCAAAATCAAGTTCACTTTTTAGGGGGGAAAAAATGTGATTTGGGATGCTGCTTTTAACGACCAATACAATCAAGCTGTGTCTCAAAAGTATCTGTTTAGAATAAAATTCTTCCATATAAAATATCAAGATGGACGTTAAACATTAATGACAATTTGTGTGCTATTCAGACCCTGTGATCATATTTATCCCAAGAGCACTCAGCCCTATTAAACTGAATCAAAACTTAGGAATCTGCTTTGCTGAACAAAGGCTGCTGTTCCTTCAATTGCCCCTACGGGCCCATGTGTCTCCATTCCAAAGAGAACAATCCACTGCACTGACCATCAACCCCACCCACTTCCACCAGGGCAAAGTCCCCCATTCCTCTCCCCAAGGCCGTAACATCCTCTGACCAGAATGTATTCATTCCAGACAAAACCAAGGGGAAGTGTGGACCCTCAGGAATCAAGTGTGTTCATAACAGCTCCAGAATAAACATTATTGTTAGGTGACACTGGAAGGAAACATTTCCTTTAAGTACTCAAGCTCCTACGTGAACATGAGTTTCTTCCATCATATAGGGGATTTTTGGCTGAGATAATCTAGTTAAATTAAGTGTATGACCACTGCTCTTTGTTTTCCTTCATAAAGGGAAATAATTAAGTGCAACTTATATTTACGAAGGAAAACAAGCTAGGCATGACTTCTAAAAGTTAAACTTCCTACAGCATATTACCTGGGACACAAAATTTACCAAAAGAAAAATTCTCAGAAAAATCTGATTTTCTGGATTTTACATTGGAGTTTTGAATTGCTTGAGTAGAATATTAGTGTTCACATTCCAACACTGTTCAGATTTTTCAAAACAAAGTTTACCTTTTAACTGAAAATAGTGATGCTTTAGAATAGTGTTTTTAATGTTCAATTTAATCAAAGATACAGCTTTCAAGGATTTCTTGAATACTGAGAAAAAATTTTAACTGAATAATTTCCAAAAAGACGTGTTAAAGATGAATAGAAAGTGATTTTGGGGACATTTAGAGGCTGTAACTGCATTCCTGAAACATAGCACTGATCTACCACTGACAGCTAAAGACTAGGATCATAAATTTGACTCATTGTTTCAAATTACTTTGTCACCAAGGCCAGGGTTGTCAATAACTCTAAATTGTAAGACACGAGTTTCCAAGTTTTTGCACACAAATCAGTTTTCCTGCAATCAATTCATGTATATGAAACTACAGAATATGACATAAAAACAAAAATCTTAGATTGAGAAAGCTAACTAAATATTATACATTTTCACACTTTAAGCCTTTTCACACACATACACATATATTTAGTTCCCCCTGATAAATCCCATGGCCCATGGCCACCTGCAGTCACATATGCAATATAGCCTCTACATTCGTTTTCTGAACCAGTGCTATGTCTACACCTGAACCACTCCTGGGGTTCTACTGAGGCTGTCCCTTTATCCTTCTTTATCTTAACTTGAACAGCATTTCTTTTGTGTTTATTAAAATTTTTTATAAAAATTTTTCCAGCTCTGCTGAGACATAACTGACATATAACATCAAGTTTAAGGTGTACCATTTACTGAATTGATAACACATATATTACAAAATAATTACCAACATGGCCATAGCAGTTAGCTAACATCTCTATCACTAATAAAACTACCATTTCTCTCTTGTGAGAACATTCAAGGTCTACTCTCTTAGCAACTTTCAAGTATATAATACAGTATTGTTAACTGTAGTCACCATGCTGTGCATTACATGACCAGAACTTGCCCTCTTATATAAAACTGGAAGTTTATAGCCTTTGACCCACATTCCCTATTTCCCCATCCTTCCCAGACCCTGACAATCACCATCCTACTGTTTCTATCAGTTTGGCTTTTTTTTTTAGATTCCACATATTAGTATATCATACAGTATTTGTCTTTTTCTGTCTGGCTTTGTCTCACTTAACATAATGCCCTCAGAGTCTATCCATGTTGTTGCAAATGGCAGGATTTCCTTCTTTCTCGCGGCTGAATAATATTCATATATTTATATCACATCTTCTTTAACCACTCATCCACAGATGAAGACTTAGGTTGTTTCCGTATCTTGGCTATTGTGCATAATGCTGCAATGAATATGGGAGTGCGGACATCTCTTCAGGATCTCAATTCCATTTCCTTTGGATAAATACCCAGAAGAGGAATTGCTGGATCTTATGATTGTTCTATTTTTAATTTTTTGAGGAACCTCCATAGTGTTTTCCATAGCCACTGCACGAATTTACATTCTCCGCAACAATGCATAAAGGTTCCCTTTTATCCATGTCCATTGATTGAACAGTATGTTACGAGGTTACTATAGTTTTAGAAATGAAATGGATATTTTGATTTGGCAAAAATCTGTATGGCTGCTCTGAGCCTCCTCTGATCAGTGTTCACATTCCCAGGAGCTGTGGACTGGACCTGGGCTCCCGACACACAGGGAAGTCTGGTGTGTCTAAGGGGATGGGCGTGTGAACACCATGAATGGGCTCTGTGGTATGGCAACAGGACGAGCACAGGGAATCCAGGCTAAGTATCCGAATGTCCAGCTGCCTATGTATGTGTTCAAGAACGATGTATGATCCCTTGGGACTATAATAAAGCCTCTAGGACTCTGCAGCTTCCTAAAGAAAAGTGCTGAAATAGCGAAAATACCAAAGCATAACATTGAAGGGAGTGAGATCATTCGCAAGTGGTGAATTATATTACTAAGAAATTCTTTAGGAAATTGTATCTAATACTCACATTTTCGATTAGGTCACAAATGATAGCGTTATTGAAGTAGTCGATGTGAGTCCATTCTATGTCCTGAAAAACAAAACAGAACAAAACCAAACTCCATGTGATGATGCTACAACGCTACCATCCATAAAACAGCCTTTGCCCACCTTACCGCACTTCGCTTGCTCTCTCAGTATTTCCTGTATAAAATCAGCGTTGCAAATGTCCTCTAACGGCTCCCAAAGCTTTCTTAGGGCAGCAGCCCACCACTGACATGATCTGATTGAAACCAATGCCCTTGACCTGTCCTGAGGCTGCCTCCCTTTCCACTCTCCCATCTGTGGTTATTTCCCATGCTCTTCATTGGCCCTGGGCCAAACATTTACTCAACAGACCGTTGGGTCAATATTACTCTGTGTATATGTACAATGTTTATAAGGAAATAAGTCAGAACTTGATCCTAAGAAGCTACGGCCTAGATTTTTCTGTTCTTAATTTGTAATCACAAGGAAAAAATTAATTTTAGAGTCAATCCCATGTTGTAGGGCAGCTATTTCATGTATAAAAACAGTTCACTACTTCATGTGTGAAAACAGTCCAATGCTAAGAGAAAATACTTTCAACATAAGGAAAGACACAAAAACCTATCCCATTCTGTATCTGCTTACACTCTGCCCATAAGTGTAAACATTTATTTTTCTTCTAAAGGGGAAAAAAATTAATTCATACAGCAAGCTAGATATCTTCCTATATACTCTTAAAAGTGTTGTAGACAATTGTACAAACTATTTTAAGTTACAGTTCAAAGTTTGGGCATTTTCTTTATGATGATAGGAAGACAATTAATCTGGCTTTTAGGATGTTTATGTTACCAAAAGGTGTCAGACAAGCATAAAAATTTCTAAAGTATAATGATCATTCTAAAAGAAAATGAGGGCCGGCCGAGTGGCACGATGGTTCTGGCTTGGGACGCCAAAGGGCCCCGGTTCAGACCCCACATATGAGGGCCAGTGACACTACCCTCCACAGCTAAGATGCTGAACAACAGCTCAACCTGGAGCTGGGCTGCCCTGAGTTGACGGCGATGGCATAGGCTGCAGCCCCTGTGGCAGTGGGTTGCCATGGGTTACCGTGTGTAGCCAGCAGCCAGTGTGAGCGGCCAGCAGCCGCAGTGAGCGGCCGTCCAGAAGCCGGCGACTGATCTGCCTCACCTGGGAAGAGCGCAATGATGGTGCCAACTTGGGCCAGTGAAACAACGTCCTCCACAACTAGACTGAAGAACAAAAGGACAGCAACTTGTCTGTTCCCCTTCCCCCAATTCCCCAGCGCTGTTCCCATCCCCCAATTCCCCAATAAAAATCTTTTAAAAAAGAAAAATGAAATATTTATGATTTAGCTTTCAAGTAATTGGGCTATTTTACTAAGTCACTGGGGATAACAATCACATTAGAAAAACCTATATCGACAAACCAAAAAAAAAAAAGAAAGAGGATTCAGTGTTCTTAACATGACACTAAAAATAAAGAAAAATATGTAATATCGCTACTAAAATATTAAGAAAAACAAAAATGAAAATAAAATTTCCCTTTTTGAAATAAATAATTTTATACTTAGAAAAACATCAGCTATTTAAAAAAATGAAAGGGTGACTACAAAGTGTGCATTTTAAAATTAAGGATGAAAGGGCTTTGTAAACATTACTTCTGATTATTTTTAAATTACAATAAGTGAGACAATCCATAGGTAGCACTAGTACAATACCCAGTATGTAGTAAGCATTCAACAAATGTTACCTATTTTTGTTATAAATTTTTAGGAAATCAATGCTTTCCAAGATTGAACAAAGTCTAAAAATATTTTCAAATTTATATACAGCATTATTCACTTTTTTGGTGTACAGTTCTCCAAGTTGTGGCAAATTGCAAACTACCACCACAATCAGCTCCCCAAATCCCCACGTGCTACCTACCCCCTACCCCCACCCCCGTGGTCACATTCTTTCATGACCCCTATCCCCTGGCAACCAGGGAGCTCTGTCTTTGTTGCTTTGCCTCTATTGGTTTACTTTTTGTAGAAAACAACATGTAAATGGAATCAGACAATAGGTAGCCTTTGGAGTCTGACTTCCTTCATTTAGCATAACACATTTGAGATTCGTTCATATAACTGTGTGTATCTTTTTATTCTACGTGGTATGCCCTTGTATGCATGTGCCACAGCTATCTGTCCATTCATCTGAGACTACTGTCTTAACACACGATTATTTCACATCATTGCACTAGAATCCAGTAAGACTTGAGTTGGTCAAGGTCAACTGATATTTATTGAGCACCTACTGTGTGCCATACATTGTTCTGGGCACTAGCAGTACAGCGGCAAAGAAATCCCAGTTAGCTTAGAGTCATACCACACAAATTCTTAAAAGATATAATATGGCTAAACTTAGATAAATCTAATTTTAGGGTCATGTTCATATAGCCTTCTGAATCCAGAATCTGTATTATGAGTTAAAAAAGGAACATTTTAAAAAACTATATTTCAATATTACCTCCCGTATATACTCCTCCTGCTCTTCTTTAAGGGTCAGTTCAATGAAGATTTGTTGCAGCTTTTCATTACAATAATTAATAATGAACTGCTCAAAGCTGTTGTCCTGTATGGAGAAAAATGAAGATAGCCTTGTAAACCATGTTATTAGCTCTCCCATAACAATGACACTCATATAATAATATCTCAGTCTACAAGAAATGTCACACACTCTTCTCAAATTCAACTGTGGCCCAGCACCAAGCTCCTGGGACAGAGGCTTGTACATTGCAGGCACTCAAGAAATGATTCATGACATAAGTGAATGAATGACGTGTACACAAGTTACGCAGTATTTGAAGGATGAAGAATTTTAGTTGACAGAGAAGCAACCCACACATAGTAAAACATAAAAATAAAAACACTTTCCCCTGAAGGCTCAGAAAAAAACAGAACAAAACAAAACAACAGTGAAATTTATAATCTCTGTCACCCAAGTTCTCAATCTTCCATTCTCAGATGCAACTTTGGAGCTCAAGAAAGTCTTCCTGACCTAACCACTTATTCCCAGACCCAGGGTCAGTTCTCTCATTCTAACTCTCACACACCAACACTTTAAAAAGAATCACACTAAATGTCTATATGTGTACACACGTTTAGTTTCATACTTATGTGTCTATCTAGACTGTACATTTCTAAGGCTAGGGTGGACTACCCATCTCTTACTCACCAATGGAAGCACATCATCTCACACTAAGTACTCAATATGTGTTTGATGAGTGAATGAATGAATGACATGCCTACAAAATGGAGACTCAATCTCTCTTCAGAAGTCTCACACGCTTATTACTCTTATGATTCTCATAGTTTCTCCTTCAGATTAGAGTTATCTCCTATGAACTCTGAAGAGCCGTGCCTAAAATCACTTCTGAACAATCCACAGGGCTTCAAGTACTGCTTACATACTGAGGGCACCAAACGCACATCTGTTGAATGAAGACACTGCACCAAGAACCACACCACCCAGGAAGAAGTAGATCTGCTAATAAAACTAGTTTTCACCTCTACCCCTCCTCTTTGCAGAGAGGGGGATGGTGGCACTGGGGAGCAAAAAACGGCATGGCCCCACCACTGATAAACCTGTCTCTTCTCCCACTGACGTGGCTAGTCCTGGACAAGTAATGAATGAGCTAGGAGGGTCCGCACGTAACAGTAGAATGAAGCCCGCCCCTCCCTGTGGATACACAGAACTATTGGCCTTCCAATCTCTCCATAAATGATGAAAGCAAAAAAGTCATAGAGTTTTTTGAAACTTCATCTTTCAAAATCAACTTGCGTCCTACCTAGGACATATTTTTAAATGATACTTACAAGGCAGGATCTGAACACATGCTTTCCCGGAAGTCAGCTAAGGAGGTCTAATCACCAGTGATGAATTGACTAATCAGAGGAAAGTTTCCCTCTAAACCATAAATGACATATATACACTATCACTGACTGATCTTTTAACAGTAAATGTAGTAAAGGATAAAGTCTTTTTTAATCCTGAAAGTTGTTACTAAAGGGAACATATTCATGTTCAATACTTGCAACAAAGGTAGTCTTAGACACAAAGAACATTCCTCAGCATTCATTTTCTCATAAACATTTTAAAAACCATGTGCTCCAATCCTTAGAGCTTAACAATTTTGATTATAAGCCTATCTGGTAGAGGTGCCTTATTATTATTATAATCAGCATAAGGCCATTTCATATATGAGAAAGTCTGGTTTTCTTGGTTTAGTAAAATATATCCTTATATAATGCTACTACCACAAATGAAAAACATAAATAAAACTAATATTTTAATGGTTTATCTGAGCAGATCTTTGTGTTTCTTTTAGAAAACAAATTCATGGAGCAAATCCTTTCTGTTAAATAAGTCTGTGTCCATGGAGGTATTTAAACAAAATTATGCTAAATCTTCAAATGACAACTAATAAGGAGAAGGAAGGAGAGAGCATCTTGTGTCCTTAGATACAGTATGCAGCTACAAACAGTTTCAAGTTCACTTCTAGAACAGGACTATGAAATACACACAAGCAGATTAGAAATCAGAGGCAAAGCTTCACAATTGCAACACAACTTAAGGAGCAAGTTAAGAGTGAAATTAAATTTCCCCTCAATTTTTAAAAATCCCTGTACAAATTCTGGAATTCATAGCCACACAGTTATAATCAATGGCCATTTACTGCAAAATTCACACAGCTGGAGAAGCGATTAACATAGGAGCATGCAACAGACCGTCACTGCAAACAGTTCATACTTACTGCACTCTGGTGCAAAGAGGGACAGATTACACAAAATGCAGTCAGTTCTTAATTTGCAATAAACGTCTAAAAGTAAACACTTATTGATAGTTATTCATTGGTACAAATGACAGATTTTCCCATTCAGGCTATATTTCTGATTGGCATAACACTTTATTTAGATCACGACACATGTCCAATCAATTCAAAGCACAGGACCACAATACCTACATATGTTATCTGAATGGTGGTTCTGTTAGGTGAGACCTCTTCAGGATAAAAACGGTTTGACTGAAATAATAATACACCACGTAACTCGTTTGAAGTCCTAAGGCTTCGGAATCTAAAGCTTCTAATTCCATTAATACCAGGAAAAGTAAAATGTGTATGACATATCCACCCCAAGATCCAGGGACAGAGGCAGCTGGCAGGTCACAGAAAGAGTGAAGAGATTCAGCAAGATTCAGAGGCCCTCCCCTTTCCCACCAGTGACCCACCCCTGTCACCCTCTTCAAACACAAACAAGGTGGTAAAGAGTGTTCTGGAGATGGCTGAAGAACAAAACCTTGGCACCCTGATTTTGTCTTGCTACTTAAAGAACAAAAACGAAAACAGAATAGCATAATCATCAAGGCAGAATCCAGCTCACTTCCCCACAGAAATAGCTCTGCATCTGTTGCAAACATACCTTACAGCCTCCAAAACATGTCATAAACCTCCAGAGCGATCATTATTGCTGAAATGAAGGCAATCACATTTCTGGTGATCTAAGTTTAAATTGTCGACATTGCCCAAATTTGGGGGAAAATAGGATTTCGTAAATCATTAAAAATAATTTGCAAAAATTTATGGTTTGCAGGAAGCTAAGGAACAGCCTGGTAACAGTTCCCCTAGCTGCAACTTGCACAGGTTTCATGCATTTCTCCATTTATACAGGCATTAAATATCACCAGGTTTTCCCTCTCCCCTTTATAAAATAGCTAAACTGGGTCTAGGAACAATCACATGAATATAAGGGCCCCAAAGCAACTTGATATTTGGACATGTTTTTGGTTTGTCAAGAACTAACTGTAGGGCCAGCCAAGTGGCGCGATGGTTAAGAACTGGCTTGGGATGCCAGAGGGCCCCGGTTCGGATCCCACATCTCATGAGGGCCAGTTACACTGCCCTCCAAAAAAAAAAAAGAACTAACTGTAAGGGTGGTCGGCAATCCCTTAGCCAGTAAGGCCCTCTCCCCCATATGTCAGCTTCATGAATCAGTCTCCAAATGAGGAAGTGGGCAGGAGCTTACTCCCATGAATGACTCACCTCCTCTTTCTCTAGTTTTCTACCCATGCTCCACGCATGGAATTTTTCTCCACTGTCTCACCCATATTTATCCCTAAAGACTGACAGATAAAACTAAAGCTTTGGGGAATATCTTTAAACAAGTGCATCCAGAATTTTCCATTACACAATCCCTTTGAATGAAGTTCAGAATGACTCCCACCCGCCCTGGACTGCTCTAGAAAACACAGGTAAACAGCAAGGTCTCTGGGGTTCTGTATTGTTTTACACTGTATAGATTGGATAGTAAGCACTTACTATATTTAGAATTACATAATATACCAAAATATCTAACTCTAGGGCTTCTTTCAAGAATTCTAGAGTTTGAGTCCACCCTTTCAACATCAAAAAAAAAAAGAAAAGAAAAAAAGAAACCCCAGAAAATCATACTCCCAGTAGAACTCATGACTAAGTTTATACTCCTAAGTATCCATCATCAACTTTCCACTTACAATGATTTTGAAAGATGGATCAAAAAGTACTGGCCTGTTACTACATTTGTATATTCTCAGTTATAGAGGAGGCTTATGCTATCTAGACAGATATTTAAATCTTGCACTCTGTAAAAACAATAAATATAGAAGTGAAGATGTAAAATAAAGGAGACAGCTTTATCACGTCCGTCACTGAGATGGTGGGATTGGAAGGATTTTGCAGGTGAATATTACAAGTAGGAAATATGAAGGCGGTTCAAACACAAAGATCATGAGTTACTCAAGCAAAAAGTGCTGTTGATTAGATATTTAATTGGTTTTTCTTACAGTTCAACACTTTCATCTGAGGTCAAATTTTGGATACATCAAGTTGGGCAGGGGTTCGAGATTTTACATACAATGAAATCTCTTGTGTAATTAATGTATGAAACAGTACATTTATATAAAAGTTATGGAACTTTTTGAGTGTAATATCACTGTTTCAGAGGAGTTGGACTATATTACTGCTTTAAAATGCGCTGTTGGTCCTAGCAAAGATTTACTTGGTGGAGAGCCTCGGGGCAGTCCCCAATAATAATAATAATACTGTTCCTATAAAAAAAATTATGTACTTAAGAATTCATTTTTAAAAATCACAATGTCAAGCAATGGGTCCAAAATCAAGAACTGCTTTTTCTAGAAAATGCTTTTAAAAACTCCCAAAATAAGAGGAAAATATTCAACAGTAAATATTGTCCCTTATAGACATTTACAAAATTGAATGGCTGCCTGAAGTTTTAGAAAACTTCCTTTTAAATATAGAACATTTTTCTTCCAGGTACATACTCAAATATGGTAAATTTTAAGAAAAACAGCATTATAGTGCTCTTCTTAAATGTTTTTAAATAGACTTTGATTTAAAATGTTAAGGCAAGAACGATGGAAACTGGAACAGAATGTGTTTCCTGTAACCAGATCCATTTTCTTTTTAAAACAGGTTAGAAAAAAAATCCTATAATTATGAGATGGACTTACCAGGCTACACTGACTTGCCCAACTCCTAGATTGTTTTACTTGAAACAGTCATTGCATCTAGCCTGTCATTCTTCCTATATATGGGCCACTGTCAATGAGGTTCACAAGAGCAAAACAAGTAAGGAATGCCTGGCTGAAAATAACTAGCACTTTGTATGACACTAGCTCAATCGTATGAAAAGCGAAATATTTATCCATTGCAGACCTGATTTGGTCTACAGGACACTCATTAACTACTTGCCCATTTTAATAGCTATCAGATAAGTGCTTAAAAAAGTTGAAGCCATTTAGATTGCTCGGCACTGTTTTGAATTTAATTTTATTATTTTAAAGAATGGCATTTGCTATTTTTTTTACCGATGCTATAAATATTTCTCAGCGGTCAAAGGCCATGTTTTCAGTTATAAGTATATCCAAACTTAATTGTGTAGAATTGGAGTGTTTAGAGTATAATTCTCTTCATTTGTAAAACTGGACTTGTGTTCTACAAGGATTTATAGCTCGGTTTTTCTCCTCTATGAATTTCCTTTCACTTCACCTTATGGTTGGTATCACTGTTCCACTGATCTGTTTTCCAAACAGACATCAGATCACATGCGGCCAGCAAGGCAGAGCTATTCATTCACCCAGCTGGCACTGGAACGTTTGCAGTCAAATCCATGTGTTATCATCCCATGGTTTAATGCATCAGTTTCCCTCTTCCGTTTAGACATGGACCAAAGTGAATGAAAGGTTTCCACCAACTCAGCTGAAAAATGTCTTCATGGGAACCGTCAGTGGGGTCATGAGGCAGAATTAGAAATGTTAAAAAGAATACAAAATTTCTAGAGCTTTACTGTCCAATTTTTAAAGTGATGCTCAGGATGTTCTAAATGGCAGAGCCTTTAATTCCTGCAGTCAATTTTCACTGAAGAACAAAGGCAGAATGTTCTCTATAGTCTATCAGTTTATTTTTACTTGGGTAGACAATATCATAGAAATGTTCATCTCTGCATTGCTGGGGATTCTGAATACTTCTTCCTAAGTCATACTCTGAGCCCCTGTACTTCAGCTTGTGGTATTTTAAGTCCTTAATTATCTGGCTTCCTAGTGTTCAACCCTTTGGGCTTCCTGAGGTTTATGGTGTTCTAATTTGGAGAAGCCAAGAAAATGCAGGATGACACCTGGGGGTATGTATGTGAATACATTAGAAGAAAAAAATCTTTCTGATTCTGTATCAAAGGGCACTTACAAGTGCCCCACCAAATGTCTATTCTGCCATCTCCCCAAATAAGTTTATTTATAAAATAAACGATAGATTTTAAAAAATCAAGGTGTTTGGAAGATGAATCTGAGAAGATTTTGACAGGAAAATGAAGAACGATTAATTATAATAAAAACAAATGTTAATTCTCTCAAGGAACTGGGGGTAGGGGGAATCAAAGCACTTACTGCATGGAGAAAACTAACTTCTAATGATTTTATGGTCATGATAATATTTGCTATAGACATATGACTGGTTGGATTTGGCCTTGCCTGAAAGTTCTGTTTAGAGAGTAAAAATGTGACCTGTTACACACATAAAGTTCATGTAAGATGAACTGTAGGTGAGACTGGATGTTTTATAGGGCATTTTGTGCAGAGGTCAAACAACAAGAACACACATATGTCTGGAACTTACAGTTCACTCTGGAGGTTCCTGTTTACAGGAGCAGTTGGCCTCCACCTTGATTGTGCACTGGAATCACCTGGGAGCTTTAAAATATTGCAGCTGGGACCCCACATCCAGAGATTGGGATTTATTGGTCTGCGGTACAGCCTGGGCATCTGAATTTTCAAAAGCTCCCCATGTGATTCCAATGCGCAGCTAAGTTAGAACACTACTGAATGGGGGTATTCCTCAGAAGAAAAGAAACGTAATGCATGCATTTTCATAAACTAAAGTTCATAGTTTTAACTGCACTGAGAAACGTGGTGATATAACTTACAGAATGAAAGCATACGAGTATGCAGAAAGACGGGCTTCAAGAGACACTTGAATTAACTGTAAGTGAAATATTCTTGGATTGCCAAAGGGTATTTTACCCAGTGCCAAGTTATAGGATATTTCCACCTAGAACACCCAAGTTCTGCTCTGATTAGGTCTGCAGCAAACACACTTTTAAAAAGTAATCTAGCTTCCTGAGACTTTCCTACCAGATAGGATGTGTCCTCAGCTGGCAACAGATCCTCAATCGTAGGGCCAGGACAGTGAGCTCCATGTGGACAAGGAACATCTCAGTCATTTTACCAGTGGAATCTGGCTCATATTAGGTGCTGAATAAATACACGAGAAATGGCTCCCTCACTTATTCATGGTCAGAATTACTCATGAGGTATAACCCAGTTCCTTGAGTGCCGTGAGGGCCTCTTTTCCCATAGCTAATTAGATCTGAGGCCACCCTGGAAGATGAAGTCCAGCCAGTGGCCCATCATAATCCTATTCCTCTATAAAAAAATGTTTCCATGCGTTGTGATATGACATTAAGCACCTGCCCATTGGATTAAGGATCAATAAATCTTTTTTTCTGTCAAAACAAAAACAAAATCCGTTTCTTTAATTTTAGAAATATCACTGAATATATCTTTTTCTTCTAACTTTCCAGTGAGATCTCTGCTGTTGCCCTATTCATGAAACCATCTAAATTTACACCAGCAATAGGCCAGGTAAAAAACTTTTTCCTGCCAACTGCAAAGAATGACTCTGACATGCTGCCCATTTAGTGACAGTGACTTGAGGTCTTGCTAGAAAGAAATTAATTTTGGCACAGTGACTTCTGTGTATACTCAAGCAATTCTCCCAACTCACAAACCTCAGATTTGTGCCTTTTACCAAGGGACCAGCAGCTTTCCTTTGCAGAGTGTGCTAAAGGGACACCAAGGTAAGCAGACGTTGTGCTGATTAACAGTGACCTGAACCCAGCATGGGGCATGGCAGCCAGTGCACAGTGTCCTACACTCTGCCTCCAGACAGAGGAACTCTGGGAAGGCTCCCATGCTGGCTGGGAGCTTGGAGTGATGACAGTGGCGCAAAAACAGGGGGAGTCAATGACATCACAACATTTGGGTTTTTTCCCCCTATTTCCAGATATTGAGGACCCTGAGTTTGGGAAAAAAGTGGGGGGAAGGGCCTAAAGGAGACCTTTTATTATTTATTAGGAGGCCTAGGGTTTAGGTCCTGAGTCCGCCACCTGGTAGCCATGTAACCTTGGGGGAGTTAACTTGACCTTCAGGACCTCACTTCCTCATCTGTAAAATGGGAATAACAATAGCAGCTACTTCATGAAGTTGTTGTTACATCAGATAATACACACAGCACTTACCAGAGTACTTGCATACAGTCAGCCCTCAATAATTATTTACTACTAACTAGTAAACATGGAACATGGTCAAGCAGGGAAAATGCACTAACACACACACACACACACACACACACACACACACACACACACACACACACAAAGAATGCTATAAGAAAAAGGCATTTGCTAGAAAGGCCTAATTTAGCTGCAGAGAATGGTTTGATATTTTTTCTGTGATTCTGCAAACCTGATAATTTGGAACATGTAAAATCTTTGGCTGGTCATTCTGGGCATGGACTAGTTACTTACAAGAATTCACAAATCATCACTTGTGGGGGAGGGGGCAAAAAGGAGAAGCCAATCTACTTGTTATTTTCCTGAACCAAAAACTAAAATATCACTCCTTAAAGTGAGAATGAGTGTTTTAGAAGTCCTTAAAATGCCTTCTCAATGTCACAGTTAGCACGAGGCTAAACAGGAAATTCTAATATAGTATAAAATGTTTAAATATTTAATTTGTATGGAGTGTTTTTTAAAAATTCATTATGAGCTTCAGCAGAAATTATTGCAACCTTTGTAGCAAAATTCACATCATAAGATCACAGCTGGATGAGATCCAACAAATCGTCTAATCCAGACCCTGTCTGCCTGAGTCCCACAGAGGCGGAGTAAGCTCTGGTCAGGCCATGCCAATATCTATCCCACTGTCCTGTTCCTGGTTTTTTTCACAGCACCATCCTGCCTCACTTTCCAAACAACCTAAAAACGAATGAATGACTACATGCATACGTCCATATACCTTGCTAGAAATTTCATAGTAAGAATTTTGAATTTGCAATTTGAAAAGTCAAGTACTGATACAAGAAATTCTTTTTAAACAGCATTATCTCCAAAATGCTGGCTCTCTGCACTTAAAACACCCACATACACACACCCCCACATTTCGTGACATCTGCACAAAGGTTATTTGTAGATTTAAAATTCTATTAATTATACTGTCATCTAGAAAATGTAAGATTTAATTTCCAACTGTTCTACATTAATAAAGATAATACAAAAAAATAAAAATTAAAAAAAAAACTTACCTCAAAAATTTCAAAGCCATAAATGTCCAAAACACCCATGACCTTCTTTCTCACTTTTGTTTGTGCCTTAAAGAAAGTTTCAAATTGGTGGGTCAATTTAGACATGAAAAATGACATTAAAAGCATACCACAAAAACATAAACATGTATTACAAGTTAATTGTATTTGATAACTAGAATAACTGTAAATTTAGGTTTTTTTAAAAACATATGAGATAAGATCCTGGTATGGAATCTTCCAGAGATTTTAATAATAGATAATTTATTTAAAGAAGGCATTAGTGATGCTTAATTATAAGAAAAGGTCACTACTGACTCTTACAACAGGTAGGGTCTTTCAAAATCACCCAGCCCAATACCCTCATTTTATTGAAGGACATATTAGTCTCTAGAGAGAGAAGTCAAGTGACCTGTTTAGCTAGTGTGTGCAACAAGTTAGCAGATGAGCCACAACCAGGACCTAGGATGCTGGCACTCAAAGTAACTCGGCAAAGACTGTTTACTGGTGAGGTTTCTTGTAACACACCTGGCAAAGCAAAACAGATAGAAACCCTGACAGATTTCAATCCTGTACAAGGTATAGTCTTTTCAAAGAACAATCTTTATAAGTGGTAACCAATGATCTGATTAGAAAATTAAAATATTTTCCAACTTAATGTATATTCTCTAAATACCATTTATTACTACTGATTTATTTGGGTATAGAGATTCAGTACCTTGATGCTTTCATTGATTCGATTTACCAACCATGAAAACAGCCTGCTGTAGAGGTTTTTAGCCAGAGCATCACGGGCATAATACGCCTATTTAAAAAAAAAAAAAAAACAAAGAAAAACTCAATACCCACTGCTATCACAAAGCTGAATTTCAATAAGGTTTTAAAAAAAATTTAAAGCTCTTTTATTTCAAATTTCTTTTCAGAGCCACTTTTCATTATACTCTGTTTGAACAGTCAAGCCATTTAAGAAAATTAGGAAAATTGTTTATACCCAGTTGTTATACTTTTTCAAAACTAATTCTACATATTGTAAAAGCTTTCTCCACAGAGATATTCATCTCAGTGTTATGGAACAGAGAAAAATTAGAGACAATTTAGAAAGCCAACAAAAGCGGAATGGTAAAATCAACAAGCAAACACCCATTGAAAGGGAAGTTCCAGTCATCCTAGAAAATTAGGTAATGAAATGAAAAATGCTTGCTACGGTTTGTGAAAATAAAAAATCGTATAACTAACGCAATGACAACTATTTTTTTTTAAATCACTACACACAGGAAATTGAAAGGAAACGCATTAAAATCTCCTCGTTTAATCTTTTGAGTATTTTTTTTTTTTTTTTTGCTGAGCCATCCTGCTACCTGTTGGCAGCTCAGCGGCTGCTCAGCTCAGGCTGGACTCGAACCGCTGTTGCTCAGAGCTCAAACTCTTGAGCGAGNGCTGCTCAGCTCAGGCTGGACTCGAACCGCTGTTGCTCAGAGCTCAAACTCTTGAGCGAGCTCTTAACCAACTGAGCCACTCGGCCGGCCCTTGAGTATTTTTTTTAATCTTCCATAACAAGCAGTATATACAACACGTCGTATCATAAAAATAAAACCTGTTGATTTGTTTATTGATTTATTTGAAAGCTGTTCAGAGCTATTTGACAAAGAGGTGGAAGACGTGCATGTCTCTAGGACCTTGACTGAAAATCCAAAGGCTGAAGCCAGGTTTGGCTGAGAGAACCAAGCAGCCCTTAAACACACTGGGTGAGGCGCGTGTGATACCCTGGGCTCCTAGAGAGGCCTACGGATAGATGTCAGCAGCCCCAGGAGACAGAAGCTGGAGGATTTGCTGCTTTTTTTTTTTTTTTAACACTCTGGCCTTATGTGTATATTCTGTAGCTTAAAAGTAGAAAGTTGGGCATTACTATTGAAGTAAACCATTATGCATTTTATAAAAAACACAATTTATTAGGTTATGTGGAAATTCTTTTTCCACATTGCTTCCTAATTGAAGTGTAACAACTTATTTTTAATGAAAGTTTATTGGGGTGACAATGGTTAGCAAAGTTATATAGATTTTCAGGTGTACAATTCTGTAACACATCATCTATATATCCCATTGTGTGTTCACCACCCAGAGTCAGTTCTCTTTCCATCACCATACATTTGATCCCCTTTACCCTCATCTGCTACCCCACTCCCCGCTTACCCTCTGGGAACCACTCAACTATTGTCTGTCTATGAGTTTTGAAAGTGTAACAACTTTAATCACACACTCAAGTCCCTGGCAACATACTACAGCTGAAAAGAGAGCTTTTCATTTTATATTTCCCTACAAAACCCAAACCTTCCTAAGTCTCAGGCAATGACTCCAATTAAGGTTAGAAAATCTACCTAGAAGTTGGAAAAAAGTAAGCCCAACTGCACTATACAGTGCTGGGGTGGTGGTGGTGGGAGTGATTCCACAGCAGAAAATGAACGTAATATGCTAAAACAGAGAAAGAAACCTAAATTTAGATACATACCCTTTCTCCAATCCCCATTCTTTTAGTTTTCACTTTCTTAAAAAAGGTAACTTAAATGCCTAGCACAGTGCCTGGCACATGGTAAGTCTATAGAAGTATTTATATTATGATTTTTGAAGTCTCCTCCTCTTCCACTATTATCTCATAAGCCTATATAATTTTCTTAATTCTTTTTCCTTTCTTCTCAAAACTTCCAGCTATCTCAAAATACCGCATAATGTCAAAACATTACATATTTATAAACAGACCCTTTCTCATCATAATGCCATCCAGTTTTTTAAGTTGTATGCTACCTCCTTCCAACAAACTACCATTTCAACATGCAACTGAACAGTGACAATTTATTCTGGTAAACTTCTTTACATATTTTAAAGTGTATTCACAGCCAATATTAACCTTCTTTGCTTCCTTCAAACAAATATTTATTCCAGGAGTCTCAAACTCAAATGTCTCCAGGGGCTGCGTTGATACAAATGAATGGGAAATAGTGGGATCAGAACAGGTTGGAGGATGCATTCCAGGTTAAAGACGCTCAAATTCAAAATTTTAAAAGCAAGCAAACAAAACAAAAAAGAACAAAACTACCCTTTATCCAGATAAAATATGCCTGTTGAGCTCTATCTGGCCCCAGGGGCTACCAATTTGCCGCAGCTGACTTCTTGAGTCTGACTCATGCCATTTAAGCTCCACCATTAATAGCTTTCAAAGTCAGTGCAGGAATGTTTATACTCATTAAGTATCACCGATAAGGTGTACAGAAACAAGCGAAGACACCGAGTGTGCTGATTCACCATCCCAGAGTCTCACCATAATATGAAAAAACTATGCATTTCTGCACCTGTGTGAAACTCACTGAGGAACTCCCAGGTGTGACCTGGGGCAAAAGTGACCCGCCTCAGGTGTGGCCCTGAACAGTGCATGCTAGGCAAGGCGGAGACACAGAGAGGCACTGACACAGGGCCCACCCTCCAGGAACTTAGTGGGGGAGATCAAACCAACACGAATGAAAGAATCTGAAGGCAATGCCAAACTGCAGGAGAAAAATGGAGTTCAGAGAAGGGAGAATTAGGGGCCTATCTGATCGAGGAAGGCTCCCTGGAGGAGGTGCTCCCTCGATTAGGTGGACAACTTAAAGATGCAGAAGGAATGAGCAGTGATAGGTGGAGTGAAGAACAAGCAGGCGCAAAGGCACCCAGTAAAAATAAGTGTGGCATTTAGAGAAGTAGCAGGGAATAAACCGAGATAAGCTGCGTAGGGTCAGATTACAGAGGCCCTTGGAAGTCGGGGAGAGAGCATGTGATAGAAGCTGAATGATAACTCTGTCTTCAGTTTCCTTTATTTCAGTATTAATCACCGTATCTTGGGGAAAATCTACATGCCTTGGGGAAAATGAGGCATGAGGCAATAAAGATGATAATGGGGCCCAAGAGTTGAAGCTATGAGGAAAAGTTAATAAAACAAATCGCTTCTCACTGGCATCAAAACTTTCTAGGCAATAAGATCAGTAGAAACAAATACTCTGAACCCTACCTTTAAAAAAAAAAACCAAACAAATAAAGAGCTGAATAATCAAGGATCTCAAGCCAAATTCTTTTATGCCAAAGGTTAAAGGAATGTGGAAAAGTTTTACACGGTGATGCAAGGTGACGCGAGCTTATAAAGTAAGAGGCACCTGGGCCTTGTTTCTATAAAAAATAATTAAAAAGCAAGAGTAACACGCACAATAAAAACAGACCAAAATATATCCATATATATTCCACATAGGGATATTTCTAAAGGGCTTTCTTAAACAACACAGGTTTTTTTCATCACGTCACTATATACTTAACAACTCCCACTCTGGCTATTGAACATGTCTAAACTCAGTGTGACCTTCGATATAGTGGTTCTCGAAATGTGGTCCCTGGACCAGCAGTGGCGGCAGCGTCACCTCTGAACTTGTTAGAAATGAAAATCTGTCCTACCTGAGACCTGCTGAACCAAGCACTCTGGAGGTGTGGCCTGCAAACCATATTTAACAAATACTCCAGATGGTTCTCATGCACTTGGGTAAGTTTGAGAACTATTGGGTTGTTGGAAAAGTCATGATGTATTTTTTCTGTTTTTCATTGCAAAAAGGCATCATGACTTTTCTGACAACCCAATACTATTGTGGATACTCCTAACTCCAAACTTAACCTTTGCAGCCATATTGCTCTGAGTCATCTTATGTATCTAAAGCTAATAGTCAAGCTCAACCAACCCATTTCTTGGTATATACTCCTGGCTTTTCTCACTGTTTTCTTTTTTTTTTTTTTTAAGATTTTATTGGGGAATCGGGGGAAGGGGAACAGACAAGTTGCTATCCTTTTATTCTTCAGTCTAGTTGTGGAGGACGTCACTTCACTGGCTCATGTTGGTATTATCATTGCGCTCTTCCCGGGTGAGGCAGATCGGTCGCCGGCTTCTGGACGGCCGCTCACAGTGGCTCTTGGCAGCTCACACTGGCTGGCTACACATGGTAGCCCATGGCAGCCCACTGCAGCAGGGGCTGCAGCGTACGCCGTGGCCGGCGACTCATGGCAGCCCAGCTCCAGGTTGAGCTGTTGTTCACCATCTTAGCAGTAGAGGGCAGTGTCACTGGCCCTCATGTGGGATCCGAACCAGGGCCCTGCTGCTCAGAGCTGGTGTCCCAAGCCAACTCTTAACCAATATGCCACTTGGCCGGCCCTCTCACTGTTTTCTTTTTGAAATGCCCTTTCCTCCACTCTTTATACATCTAAATCCTTCAAGACTGGCTCAGAAACCATCTTCTCCATGAAATCTTCCTTAATCCTATATGTGCTTACTTATGGTCTGCACGGGGGCTTGTACGAAGCCAGTTCTCAATACATTTTTCTTGATTAACTAAGTCACTCACCATTTGACTTTGAATTAATAAGACTGACTTGAACAGAAATGAGGGCAGGAGTAGAAATTTAGGAAGGAGGACACACAACAGTTATAGCTAGAAAAGGATTGTTACAAACCAAACTTACATATACATAAAGTGATAGTATCTTCCATACCCAAAATAGCTCGCCTAAAATAAGAAATAAACATTTAAAGAAAGCTAAAGACATGTAGGCATTCTTGGATTAGTAGGAAAGACTAGTACAGAGCTGCAGAAAGACTAAATCCACTCTACTGTCCTACAGATGCTTAAGGCTATGTACAAAGAGGAGAAAAATACAGTTGGACAAAGTAGGCCCAAGTGGGAAATGTCCTGAATTAGTCATTTAATTCTAGTCCAAATCAGCATGTTTAAGCCATAGAACAAAGGGTTTACATTGACAGGATCTCCAGAAGCTGCCTAGGTATATACCCATCCACCCACCCATCCATCCATCCATCCATCCATCCATCTATTTAACTTGAACCAAAGGAGAGAAGAAGCAAGCATCTCAGGTTTGTATCTTAGAAAGACTTCATTGGCCTAAGTGTGGAGGATGAAGAGGGTGCAATAAGGAAGACAGGGAAGGCCAACTTGGCCATTTAACAAGCTGGCTTCTCCCATTGTCTTCTTCAAATCATTAAGTGGGCAATTCCAGTATTTTGCAGCTGCAGCTCTAACCTGATGAGCTTGAACTGAACCCAACCTGATCAAGTTTAGCCCCCTGCAAAGAAGTAATCAACAGGTAATTAACAAAATCTGCATAAGTTAAACCACCTGCCAAGAGAAAAATCAACATGTAATTAACCAAATAGTTTACAATATGTAATTAACCAAATAGTGTATATAAACAATGGCTAACAGTGTATATAAACAGGTTTGCATGTGAATCCCTTGTCTCCTTACTTGCTCCAAGTAAATAAAACTACCTTAGGACAACCAGAATAGAACACCCCAAGGGGTGAACCCCTTGAGTTTGGTAACAATACCACATACCAAGCCATTAACAAGTCTCATTGCCTCCACCTTCAAAATACATCCAGATGTGACCACTTTCACTCCAGTGCTACCACCTGGTTCAAGCCACCATCATCTCTGGGTTAGCAACAACTCCTCCCAGCTCCCGTGCTATGAACTGAATTTTTGTGTCCCTCCAAAACCATATGTTGAAGCCCCAAACCCCAATGTGATGGTATCTGGAGGTAGGGCCTTTCAGGGGCAATGCGGTTTAGCTGTGGTCATGAGGGTGAAGCTCCCATCCTGTGACAGGACTGGTGCCCTTATACGAGGATGAGAAACCAGAACTCATGCTCTGGCTCTCTTTCTCTCTCTGCCATTTGAGAAAGATACAGCGACAGGGTGGACATCTAAAACCCAGGAAGAGGGCCCTGACCAAGCACCCAGCTATGCAGGCACCCTGATCTAAGACGAGCCTCCAGAACTGTGAGAAATAAATGTTTTCTGTTTAAGCCACCTAATCTGTGGTATTCTGTTATAGCAGCCCAACCTGACTAAGACACCCTGCTTTTACTCCTCCATCCCCTACTCTCTGCTCTCCACATTGCAGCTGGAATGATGCCCTAAAATACAAGGCAGACCATGCCACACATGCTCAAAAATCTCGCGTCATCTCCCACCTCACTCAGCCCCAGCTTCCCCAGCCCCAGCACTATGGCTCTCTGTTACTATGCTCTACTTACGTGTATTTATTCTCTTTGTCTATTGCACTCACCACCTGCTAGCCTGCTACACCAATTTATTAATTTACTACATTTACTGACTATTGTCTGGCTCCTCCGGCCAAAAATTTAAGCTCCATGAGGGCAGGGATCTTTATCTGTTTAGTTTACTTAAAGCTGTGTCCCCAAGGCCTAGAATGATGCCTGGAATACAGAATTAGAGTTAAGATATTAGCTTGCAAAACAAATTTTTTGTTTCCAATTATATAAAACTATGAAAAACTTTTTAAAAACTCATTTCCGGACAATATGTTTCACCCACCTGAGCCACGTTCAGTGTAGTTGAAACTTTCTCCTGCTTGGCCTCAACTGTTCGGAAACTGAATGCTCGTTCTAGAACTGACTGGTCAATGCCAGTCAATTCACAAATTTCTTTTAACTCTGTTGGGGGGAATGGACACAAAAAGTGACTGTATATGTGCGGCTAATAATCATTTTCAAGGCTTAGGGCGTTCTTTCTAAAACATATTCAAACCAAACAGTATAAAAATGAATAAATCAAAAGACTTAAAACTTAGCTGTAATTATGTTTCTGCTCAGTTTCATTAGAAAGCTTTTTCAGACCAATGAAAAGCAAGTTTTACTTTCCAGGTTAAAAATTTGGGGCAGAAGTTCAAAGCAAGTGTGCTAAACAAAATCGATTCTCCACCATCTTACCATTTTTATCTTTGATTTTGCTTTCATCTAAACCATTTACTCGAGATTCAGGTTTGAACTCAATGTTCCCCAGTTTCAACACGGCGGCCACCACTTCCAGGACAGACTCAGCCTCATGATCCATGAAACCCACAATCTGCATGGCATTCTGAGGAAGGAAAAAAAAAAAGGCACCTGTTTTCTTTCTGTAGTTCTTTATTATCATTTTTTTTAATGAATCATACAACAGATTTGTTTTTTAAAAAGCAGCAACAACAACAGAAAGACAAAGTGTCCCAGAATAAACTTCCCGAAAAACAAACTTATTAACAGACCTGATGTAGCACACATGTGGGGCTCGATCTTGGTCAGTGGTTTAAAGCTGTAATTCTGAGAGCCCTACGGAACCTCGTGCACTGTGGCAAAGGGAAAAGGTGGGGGATGGGAGAAATGTAGAGAGGAAGACAGAAGGAGAAGAGGCTGAGAGCTGAGCCTTGGGTTCCTGCCCCCACTGTGTGAGTGTGAGTGTGTGTGTGTGTGTCTTTTTGTATACTGGGGTACTAGCGCTAGAAATAACCAAACAAAAAAGTTTCACAACCCTTATTAAACAAACAAACAAAAACTCTTGTTTATTTTACATATGGGAAAAATAGTGGTTTGCAAAGTGAAGTGCCTGATCCAAGTCACTATGGGTAACAAAGAACATTTGTTCAGTCATAAATTTTTACTGAGTGCCAACGATTTGCCAGGCAAAGTAGTTCTAGAATTAGTCTTGAACTCAAGTCTTAAAATCATGTCCAGGAATCAACAGGCCTCACACACGAGGAAGTTTACACAGTTTTGAAAAATGACATACTCTAGAAATGCTTTCTTTTTGAGAACAGCCCCACTTATTTGTTGGTTTGTTTATTTATGACTAGGCTACCTAGAATTTCAAACATACAAAGATAGAAAGAGCAAGAAAAGAACTGAACCTGAAGTCATTTCCATTCACCCTCAAACAATGACTGAGCCAAACTTGTTTCATCTATAATCTGACCTACCCCCACCGCCCCTTCCTACCACCACAGCTGTCTCATTTGGAAGTAAATAAGGTACCATATCATGTCCTAATAGGAGTAATTTTCAAAGTGCTACATAAACACAGAACATAGGATATAAATTAAAATAATTTTTCTAACAAACATAAAATGATAATCATTCAGGATAATTCATAATTTTTCAAAAACTGTAAAAAAACAACTTTCTGTCTCAAAAATACTTTTAACTTCACATGATCCTAGGACATGTTAAGTGAAGTTTGCACACTGGAAAACTACTGAGCTTTGGCTATGAAAAAACATTCAGAATTTCAATACAACATTAAGAGTCAAACTCCAAGATAATATAATAAGGAAGCTCCTTTTGATAAATAGTAAAATCGCAAGCTCCGGTAAAGCATGGCCTTCACAACATTGCATGATTTTTGAGCTAGTGTAAAAAAAAAAAAAAAAAATCAGACTAATAAAAATACAATAAATTCTTGTATAATTCTAAAACCTTAGGGAGCATGAGTTATACACTAAAGAAAACTTGGATTTGTTACCAATTCCAATTGGCGATATAGTGTTACCCATTTTAAAGAGCAATAAAAAGATTACATCTTACCCTAACAGTTCTGAAATTTGCTGCATCATCCACTCCATTAACTTTGGCAGAGTCCAGACTCAGGTAGTTATATCTGCTGAAATCCCGCTCGAGTTTAAGTTTATCTATTGAGTCACACACACAAACCGATAAGCCACTTCAATAAATCTAATTATCTTTAAGATCTCATTTCTATATCCCTCCAGATAAAATGACTTTCACATTCTGTATTGAATCAACAGAACAAAAATTGATGCCTAAATACCAATAATACCATTTTTCTAAAATCACCTTTATTACTGTTTTCAAACTGCTTTTTTTTTACATTTTTTTTTTTTTTTTTTTTTTTTTTTAACTGAGCCATCCTGCCACCTGTTGGCAGCTCAGCTCAGGCCGGGAATCTAACCGGCGAACCTGTTGCTCAGAGCTTGCACTCTTGAGTGAGCTCTTAACCAACTGAGCCACTCTCAGCTGGCCCTTTTTACATTTATTCTTAATGGAGAAGGCCCTTTCCATATTTTTATAATATAAAATATCTTCGATGTACTGTTTCATTATAACATGATCCTTGCCTAGTAATTCCCCCACCATTGGAAATTTGGGTTCTCACCAGTTTATAATAATAAACATTGGGCAATGATAAATGTCTTCATACCAAATGTTTTTGGGGTTCTTTCAAATTATTTCATTGGGATATATTCCAAAAAGTGGTGTGTCTGGGTGGTAGGCTTCGATTATTTTATGACTTATTTTGGATTGCTAATTTGTCCCCCAGGAAGAAGGCACCCACAAGCTTGAAGTAGATCAGTGCCTGACAACTGTGCCAGCTTTATCCTTTTTTATAAATTTCACTAATATATATATAGTTAACATTTCAGAATTGTTTTAACATCATTTACTGATTAGTGAGGATGATTTTTTTTCCGCAAGTGTTGACTTTCAATAGCTTTTCTTCTTTGAACTATTTGTTGAAAACTTTTTATCACTTGGCTGTTGCTACTGGATACTGTACTTATGTACTTAAAAATTCTCTAAAATATCCAAAGGTCATATTTTTAACTTTAGTATCAGTTGCAAATGTCTTCCCACTATTTTTAAATCTACACTGAACAATTTGTTTTGTTTTGTTTCATAAGCATACTCATCCGTGGCTCCCTGATAATGTCCTCTCCCCAAGCCTTTGCACTTTATGATTAGCCCCAACATCGAGCTATTTCAGTAAACCATCTGAGACATAAGGTACAGAATCTGGTCAAGTACAGAGATATATATCAAACAAATGCTGGGGTAGGATAAAAGCAAACACACCATGTTCTTCACTTCAAGTAGCATCATGGAAAATTTTTAAGAAGAAGGGGGAATGCATATGGGACACTTTTAAAAAGAATGTTTTGGAAAATGCTGTGACACATAAAAATTAATACATAAAGACAAGGACTTACTGAGGAGCTCTTCAGAGGCACCAGAGAGCAGCTGATAGAACACATGGAAGTTTCTTTCACCCCTTGGCTGCTTAACAACTCGAGATTTCTCTAAAAGATCTAAAGAGAAAAAGAAGCAAATCATAGTATAGTATTAATTTTGCTTTTAAATCCACCATGGGTCTTCTCTCTCCCCTTTTCCATTTTCTGTTTTGTATTAATAAGATAATAACAAGCTACATTTTCAGGAAGAAGCTCAACACCAACTAAAATCACCAAATTAAACAAACCAGGTTCTACTTAAACAACAGTGAATATGCAAAATAAGTTCAACAAGACATTCGACAAGCTGATTAAAGACAATATGGTTTCATACTGATATTCTCTTGGTTTTATATAATATAAGATGACATTAAGTTCTTCAAAATGTAGCATTACAAATCAAATCAAGCAATGAAATGCAGCTTTATGAATCCACTAAATAATTACAGTGATTAAAAAAGTTAGTATTTTTGAAATCTTATTGTGTGCTAAGTGCTTTATAGACTTATCTCACTGAATCCTCCCAACCATTGTATAAGGTATTATTTAACAGATGAAAAAACTGACAGTCCAAGAGTTTAAGAAGGACTTAAAATCGGGCCATCTGACCCAAGGACAGACCCCATCTTATATCCACATGCCCTGCTACCTGAAATAACTGAAGCAGATTGTCTTGATATCCTGAACTCTCAGAGAATGCAAGTGGTTCTTATTCAATGAAACTTTGGTGTGATCTGACAGTATACGTTCATTGATTTCAGATAATTTTTCATCCCATAAGTTGGATGTCTAATCAAGTTTTCAAACAAGAAAGAAAGAAAGAAGGGAGGGGAGGGAAGGAAAGAGGAAAGAGAGGGAAAGGGAAAGGGAGGGGGGAGGAGAAGAGAAGAGAAGAGAAGGGAAGAGGACGTAAAGCGAAGCGAAGTGAAGCGAAGCCAGACAACCAAAAATGAGCCATTGTGGCAGTACGTGAGAGATGGCAGAGTACAATGGCAGAGAATTATCTTGCTTGGAGTCCTGCTTATCCTTGACCAGTATAAAAGAGGGACTGGATTCTTAGGGCAAAGGTCAAAGTTAGTTATAAAATTCTGCATCAGTGATTCCATGATTGAGCACTAATTTTACAGAACAGACACATTTGATTTCCAATCAGACTGAAATCTAAATATTATCCAAAAAAATGCATAAGCTAGAGAATGCCATTCAATTTCTCTGGAAATGGTCATTGAACTTCTGAATTTGTGTTTCTGGAATCCACACCAGCAGCTGAGAGAAGCCTAGGCAGAGTCAGAGTGTAGCTGTGATGAATGAGAAGTCCTAGGGCACTCCAAATACATGAGGTCATTTGTAAGAATGAAGACACAGGTTGTAAGCAAACGTAAAATTAAACTGACTAAAAAGAGAACAAAAATATGTAAATACAAAAGTTACTAGAAACAGGATGCTGCAGAGTTTTAATTTTCATCTCCAGCTCTCATTTGACTTGGATGACTGCCAATGCCCGCAAATAATTTAGCAAAAAGAAAGAAAACAGAAATTGAAAGCAGAAGAGACAAAATTTAGAAAAGAAAGGTTAGGTAATATTCATCATTTCTAAGGACTGACCATTTCAATCAATGAATAAGTAAATACCGACATGCAGAGCAGAAGACAATAAACAGGTAAGGATAAAAATGCAGATGATTTTACTAATCATGTGGCCAAGCTTTCATGGGGTCCTAAGAGTTCTATTAATAGCACAGTTTTAGAAGAAAGAACCCACAGGGCATGGGTTGATTATTCCTTGAGAAGCTAATCCTTACAGGAAATTCCTCAAGCCTAGAAGAAAGCAACTTGATTATGTGAAAAAATATGAACAAATGCTACAGTTTACTTCATTCATGAACAGAGTCCTTTAATCAGCTTACTTACTGCTCACCCACTATATACCAGGAACTATCTGCAGATGAGCCAGCACTGAACACAAACATGAAGACCTTTTTCCTCTAGGCCTACAAGAGTCCCCTGGGCTCAGGTTTACTCCTGCCACCCAAACCAACAGTAGCAGTTCTTTCCAAGGGGGACGCCAAGGCTCTTACGAGAAAGAATGAGGTGACGGTGGGAAAGGCAAAGTGATCGTGTGTCCTTCGCCTGTCACACCCCCCAAACCCCAGGCTCTTCCCGTAGTGCTAAGAACCCTACCACACCTCACTAGCACTGGCAGCCTGCTGCCCTCCCACCTAACAGCGATACCTTAATAATAATGACAATTGTTTGGTGCCACTTCTCCAATCATGTTCCAGCAAGCCAACATGGTGCTTCCAGACACAAAAGGATACCTTCCAAGCATGTGATAGGGCCACAATGTCCAACAGCAACACACTGGCCAGCCTAGTATTCGGCATTTTTTGAACAAATGCTCGTAGAAAATGGGAGAGTTTAGAAACGGTGATGGTTTTTAAGATTCAGCAGATAACAGCCACCGAGTTAAAGAATAATATTCGCTTGTGCAGCGTGTGGAAAGGAATGTCGCCAATGTACTTCTCTTGAACCACACACAGATCCGATCAGTGATTACTATCATATTCAAATATGAAACATAATGCGATGTGTGCTTAAAAAGAAAGGTGCAGAGGGGGCGGTAGAAAGGGAACTTTCCCTGACCTCCCTCTGTGCATTCGGTGTTTTTCATCTATTACCATATTCAACCCTAACACCCGCCCTAAAGCTGGTTTTATAATCCTATATTTATGAGAAAATGAGGCTCACATCACACTGTTACTATGCCGAAGAGCCAGAATTCAAAGCTTTAGGTGACTACGTTGTTATGCTTACGCTCTGCATAATTTTCCAGCAAAAAGATGCAAACTCCATAAACACTTGGAAATGTGTTCTTGACAGAAACGATATGACTTCACCTAAGCAACTGGATCATAAAACGAGGAACCTTTTATTACAAAGCAGTTGAAGGTTTTACCACCTAAAATGCTTAGTTATTACCCCAAGGCCTATTTATGACTTTTCTCATGAGTTACAAGCTTCCAGGTAGAAAAGCTATCAGAGAAAATGCCCCAAAATCATTTACTAGTGTTTAAAACTATCCCCTATTCTATTTTTTTATGTGTACACACCAACATAATCTAACAGTATGAAGCCATATCAAATAATTACTCAGAGTACAGAACATAAATTCAATTCACTATAAGGACTCACCACCTGGCCATTTTAAAATACTGAAATGTGTCCCCAAATTAAGTCAAACCAAAACACTGATACAGACTTCTCTTCTGATTTAGATGCTTCTGCCAACACTGACTGAGCCTCTGCTAATAAGATTTAGTACAGGGGAGTACAAGCCATGCCAAATATTTAGTAGAGAAGAGAATATAAGAGTCTCTATATACATTTATCACTTGGTATCTGTGGGGGATTGGTTCCAGGATCCCCACAAATACCAAAATCCGCGGATGCTCAAGTCCCTTACATAAAATGGCACAGTACAAAGCATACAGTTGGCCGTACGTATCTGTTTTTGATCCATGGTTGGTTGAATCTGTGGATGCAGAATCTGTGAATACAGAGGGCTGATTGTATTTCAATGCAGCTACATTCCCTTCTCAAGGTATCAATTTAAGGGGGTGGCCAGTTAGCTCAGTTAGTTAGAGCGCAGTGCTCATAACACGAAGGTTGCCGGTTCGATCCCCACATGGGCTACTAAGTTGCGCTCTCCACAACTAGACTGAAACTACTACTTGACTTGGAGCTGATGGGTCCTGGAAAAACGCCCTCCACAACTAGACTGAAACAGCTACTTGACTTGGACCTGACTGGTCCTGGAAAAAAAACACTGTTCCCCAATAAAATCAAATTTTAAAAAAAGATATCAATTTAAGTTCACATTAAATTTGATAAAAATTTAAGTTTTAAGGGAAGAGATAAACCTATTAAGCCATTCTAAAGGGTTAATAAAAAACCAATGGGCAGGGCCAGGGAAACTCTGGAGTCAGAACTTTGCCACCAACTCCACCATGCCGCTGTCACCTGGTTACATGTTCACAGAACCAGGCCATGTTTTAGGGGCTTTCTTATTTTTGACTAATTAACCAGCTAGTCCGTGGCACGTACATGTACCTATGTATATCACAGAACAACCTCCACATGCACAAGATATAAGAAGAAAAATGTCCACGTTTGTACTGGCTGGAGAAGGAAGTATTTTAATTAGGCAAAGGAGTAACAGGACAAATAGGGGTTTAGAAGGGGAAAAAAGAAAAATCACATTATTTTGGAACATAGTAGGTGAAAGATTAGATAGTATAATCAAAGTTTCTTTATTTTATGTATTATCTCCTTCCTGAAAAAAAAAAAAATGGTCCAAGATCTTGATTAAGGAAGAATCAGCGTTGTCTCCATTTGCCAGTAAGGTCAAAATGACAATGAACACCCAAGAGGCAGAACACTGACCGATCCCCGGAGACCCTGTGCTCCTCTCCCACTGCTCCAAGGTAAACTTTATGAAAAAAAGTATTTGGGTTGCATTTAGGCTCTTCTGATTGATTGATTTATGCCCTTTTATTTAAAGCAAAATGATATATTTAGAAATCATTATGGGCCTACCATCTGAATAACTACAATTTATATCCCTTTTTTCTCTGTTGTCTTGGATAATTACCCCTAAAGAAAAAAATGTCAAATAACCAGTGAGTCACTGGGCACACCTAATGGTAGTGGTTTCAGCGGAAAATTCTATGAACTTATGTTTGCTGATATGTTGGGGTATCTATTCTGAAATCAACTCTATACTTTTCTGGAAATAAATAACAACCCTCAAGATTGGCAACTAAGACGTTTCATTAATGACAGATTTTAAAGTAAAAAAGAGGGGGCCTGGGCCAACGGAGTGGCTCATTGGTTAAGAATTGTCTTGGGACGCCAGCTCTGAGCAGCAGAGCCCCGGTTCAGATTCCACATGGGCCAGTGACACTGTGCCCTCTACAGCTAAGATGGTGAACAACAGCTCGACCTGGAGCTGGGCTGCTGTGAGTCGACGGCGCCGGCGTAGGCTACACTGAGGCTACAGTGAGGCTGCAGTGGGCTGCCGTGAGCTACGTGAGTGGCCGGCAGCCAGCATGAGCTGCAGTGAGCTGCCATGAGCGGCCGTCCAATGGCTGGTGACAGATCTGTCTCAGCTGGGAAGGGTGCAATGATCATAAAACCAACATGGGCCAGTGAAGCGATGTCCTTGTATAAAAAAAAAAAGATGAGGCCAATGTCTCCTTCCAAATCGTTCCCTGTGCATGTGTAAAAGGGAGCAGATATAAGCGTTCACCACAGGGCTCTCTCACAGCTCAGATCCCATGCAGATCTCCATCTATGTGTAGGTTACATGCACGGAGGCATCTAAAACATCTGGCATGCCATGACATTACAATTTTCCCTTCCTTCCACCTCCACAGCAGTGCTTATTGTGGTGATCATTTAGCAACACATACAAATACCAAATCATTACATTGTACATCTGAAATTAATATAATGTTGCATATCAATTATAGCGTCATAAAAAATTTTTCTAAAAAAAGGATAGTCAATTAAAATTATCCAATAAAGTAGAAGCTTTATTTCCCAATACATTTTTCTAAGTCACAGCTGTACTTGTTGTACCTTGTGTTCTTGTGTGATTATTAATTAATTTGAATAGTATCAGACACTATTTTTTGTTGCTGTCATTCAGCAATGAACCAAACAAAGTCCTTATAGGGCATATATTTAGCTAGGAGCTACAGACAATAAACAAATAAGTATATAATAATGAAAAAAAGCAAACATTTATTGAGTGCTTACTGTGTGCCAGGCACTGTTACAAGAGTTTTAGATGTTAACAAGTAATTTACACCTCATCACAGCCATATGAAATTAGTAATATTATTATCCCATTTCAAAGCTAAAAGAAAGGAGGCATAAGAGAACTAAGTAACTTGCTGTCTTTTTGCTTAGACATTGAAAACCACATGAAAAACCAGTACGAGTCGTGTAAGTAAGCTCGTGGATATGTCCCCAATGAAAGAAGCAGGAAAACGGAAGGGCCTGCCTATATTTAACCAATTCCATCCTTATCTCCAGCATTTACTGAGCACCAACTGTGTGTCGGGTATTACACTAGACTCTTGATAAACTACCATGAAAAAGACAACCATATCTCCTGTCCTTACAGTTTATGCAGGTGTATGTACATCTGAAATCATGAGGCTTTTTCCTAATAGGTGCGTGTGCACTATTCTACTTTTAGGAGATAAAATCCCTTGAGACTTGTGCCACATTTTCTCCAGTCTAAATTGTCACCAAGGGGCACAGCTGTAAGAAAGTGCGTATGACTATTAATAAAAGCCACCAGGTTTCCCAAAGTTTCTAGTGATAACATTAGTTCCAAAATCCTCAAATAAAATGTATAAATTTTATAAGACCAACAAGCATTAACAAAGTAGGAGAAATATTTATATCTCGCATCAACCAAACATCTGCATGTGCTTCCGTATTTTATCTTCTCAAATGAAGCAAATGTTTGCCGTTTTCTATTTTTTAAACACCTCTCTCCTAATGATACTAACCTCAAGGATATTATTAGCTTTCAAGTGAGCTCAAGATAAGTTTTACAGCATACCTCTTCTAGAACGAGAGTAAGTTACTGGGCTTTGTTTTCTACTTCCTGGGTACACAACTGGCTCAAGTGATCTTGTGCCTTTTTCAGGGTAATAATTACTAGGTGGCTGCTGGAAAAGGAGGCAAAATACGCTTCCTTCAAAATGGCAAATCTTGTGTCCTTTTCTAGGCTACCAGATGCTAACTTTTGGGAGCTTGGAGAGAACAAGAGGGGGTTTACCCATTGCTTTTTACACCCCCTTAAGCCAGCAGACATCAACTCCCAGTGACTACCTATGAGTCAGTCCTCATCTATGCCAGGGTGAAATTTCCTGCTCTTGCCACTAATATACTACTTTCCTCTCCAAAGCAAAGGCTACTCAAAAATACCAGGGTGTTCCCACTACCACAAATTTCAATATAACTTCATTGTGGGAACAAATGCTAACAAACACCATATGAAACCCATTCATGATGATATACAGTAATCTTAATTGGAAAATAACTGAGTGTTTAATATTTGTTCTCCATGGATACAGAAAGAATTAGAGGGTAGGAAGACAGTTCTGTTTGGAGCTTAAACTTCCAATGTAAAACCTAAGTTATTTTCTAATATTTACAATAAAGTAATCCTTACACATTTTCCTAGGGTCCTCAAAAGTAATATTGAGTCAATCATTCCAGGATGTTTAGAGATAAGCTCTATAATGAAAACAGTAAACGTACCCTCATTTACAATAGTAGTGTCTTATTAAATTAATAACTAGTTCATTTGTCTTACGCAAAGTAAATGCTAAAGATTTATGAATGTCTTTCAGGATAAAAATTAATAATTCCTTAAAATGGTGGTCTTAAAAATTAAAATTGAGGCATGCCTTTTCCTATACAGCTCTCAATAGCTGTCGTACATTGTGAAGGGAACTTGCCTAAAAGGCTTGGCATAATCATCTGCTTTCAGTTATGTCATATATGGTTTGCATAGGTACTTTTGCTTTTGTATTTGACATATAAAACCATCTAACCTAAGTAGCACTATTCTAGCCAATTTCATTTCATATTCAAAATTTCTGTTTAAGACATTTCTCTAGTAAACACACACTTTTGCAAATGTGGATAATCTCAATGCATGGCACATAAAACGTGTAGTCAGGCAAACTAACATGAAAAATTAAACTATTTAAAAACAACAAAATGGTGAAAATGGGAAGAACCATCAAATGTATCCAATTTAATCCCACTGTTTCAAAGATGAGGAAACTAACTCTAGAAGGTTACTCTACAAATAGTAATTTTTTTTTTTTAAATCAGCTGCATAGTTTGCCCAGATTACTTAAAACACTTTTTCAAGTGGCATTCCTCTCGTTCTAGATTTCATCAGGAAAATCTCACGGGGGCCCAAGGGTTCTGGCTACCCGTCATCTCCTGTTAAACCAGATCAGGTCTTGCTTTGTTTCTCTGTCTCCTATTTGGTGTTCAGCATTAAAGTTCACTTGAAGAAGGAAAGCCACTGTTATCACAAATATATTGAGCATTACTTTGGATACCTGAGTCATTTGCCATTTTGTTTTTCGAGTCTAAACTTGGTTCACTTTTTCAACTAACAATCCCAATAACAGCACAGTGTGGTGAGGGGACCGAGGAAGTGGGGGGTTCAACAGTGTGGCCCTCAAAAAAACAAGAGGACTCAAGGGGACAAGGAGGTCATAGCTCCAACAGGAGGTGCACAAACCCTGAGTCATCATCTTAAATTTTTCAAACTAATCAACTACAAAATCAGCACAAGCAGACATCAGGGCAGTGCCGCACAGACCAATGCCACAAAGCACTGATGGTAAGGGCCATATTTATAATAGATACTGACCATTATGACCACTTTAGAAAACTCTTGACCTGGGGCTGTTAAGCAAACCTCACCTTTGACAGAGAACATTTCACTTCTATAATCATAAATTATGACTAAAGGAGGCTAATAAATAAGTATTTCTACCTAACGGATCTATCACACTCAATGATTTAAATAAATGGGAAGACAAAAAAAATTTTCTCACAATAAAACTTGAAGTAGGGGTCCACTCATTATGTTGGATGTTACCCCCACAAGTTATTAAATTAAAATCAACTATTTATATTTTGGTTTTAATCATAAAATAATTTTGTTAAAGAAAATAAACATTGGAGGATCTTTTTTATTACTGGATTGGCTTAAAGAGCTATAGAGTATAAAATACAGTTGGACTAATACCTATTTCTTTGGCAAACTCCTAAAAAGTTTTTCAAAAATAAAGATTAAGTATTCTTTTACAAAGATTTAGAAATTAAATTATATAAGACAACCTGAAATGACAGGTTAAAAGTCTAAGTAGTATTAAGAAAATGTATGCTTATACACCCATCTCTTGAAGACCCAACTATCTAAAATATTCTATTGTAAACACATGTTTTACTATTGTGAACTTTAAAAGAATTCAAGTAAAATACTCACAGTTACTAATCACTCCTCCCAGTGGATCACCTTTAAAATCAAATTCAATATCCATATATTTGCCCTGCCAAAGAAAGACTTAGTGAGTTTTCAAGTTCACTTCAAAATACTCATCCAGCATTATCTTCTTAGAGAATAGCATACTGAGCCCTTTATACATTTGCTTAAATGTAATTAAGAAAGACACAGTTTATATAACCATGACACAAAACGATGTGCCTCCATGAATAATTCATATTAAATACCACATTAGCTCAAAGTTAACATATCCCATTGCTAATTCAAGAATAGATCCTCTCAGTCATGATGTAACTTTTCCATTTCAGATATGTATTTCAAATGCTGAAGGATGTGTATATTCAATTCAAGAATAAAACTGAGAAAAATAAGTATCCCTTGCATATGCACTGGCTGGGAAGATAAATTATTTCATTTTTATAGGCAAAGTATGTTTTAAGCCATGGCTAGAACCTCCAAACATACCGGACTGTGGAACACTTAAAGTACTGTTTTCATGTGTACTCAAATCAAATACATGGCTATGTGGAGTGAATAGTTTAGAATCAAAGACTGATCGGTATTATTCTCTTAGGCTTTTAACCTAGATTACACAGCAATATATAACCAGGATCATATTACACTTTGTAGATGGTATATTAAACACAGAGAAACACACATGGTGTTTCATACTGTAATTTTTAAAGATTTGGTCTGTAATTGTCTAGTTAAAGAGTAACAAGCATATACAGAATAGCCTTGACAGCTGTTTTTTGTTTGGAAAGGGGCATGTTGATCTAATAAGCAGTCTTTGGTTTTGTTTCATGTTCTACCTTAGTAATAGTCAAGATAGATGGTTTGTAAATAATTCTCCCGAAGAATTACTTTAACTCTTTTCTATTTTCAAAATACTGGTAAGGGAGAAGAAACATGATCGCGTGGCACTCGGTCAACAATGCAATTTGTGACTTTTTATTAGCTCATGCATGCTCTCTCGCCTTCTCCTTCTTCATTATCATGGGTCATCTGCCCTTTTCAAGTCTTCACTTATTCTTAAGTAAAGGTCTACCAACCACTTCCTAGATACTAAAGTAGTCAAACAAGGGAAAACAAGACACAAGACCTGCCCTCAAAAACTTAAAGTCGGGGGTGGGGTGGGGAGGTGGGGGGGTGAAGGTGGGGGTGGAGACAGGTAAACAAGACATTACTGTGTCCAGGGATACATCCTACAGTGTGTCATGGTGCTATGCACAAAGAAAAGGGACAGGGGAGAACAGGAAGTCTGCCCTAGCTCAAATGCAAAGTATCAGAAGTCAGGCAGATCAAGAACTGTGAGAGCAGGGAGGAGAAGGCATAAGAACAGGCATCCATGAGGACGGTGAGGGAAGCTAGAGCATATTGTCACATCGAGACGTTCTCCTGACAGCCGAGTCAACTCATACGGGTTTCTAAACAAGGATGCCAATAGCAGACTTGCCTCCTTACTAGGTCACTCTGGATAGTGTGGAATAGACTAGAAAGGAGCAAGACCACATGAAGCTGACAGGAGGTGGCAGTCATCAGGGGAGACATGATGGTGGCTTTACGCAGGAGTAGCAACAGGGAAAAATAAACAAGAGTTGAGAGCTACCCAGGGAGTCACAATGACAGGTCCTGGTTGGACGTATGAGGCAAGAGGGGAGGGAGACAAGGATTAAAACGTCCAGGAATGGGGCTCAGGCAACTGAGTGGATAGTGAGTGATATTGTCCATGAGGGTGGGGACACCGCAGGTGAAGCAGCTACAAAGCAGGGGAGAAGAGGTAACTTCACAAGGGAGTGAGGGGCTGACCGTATGAAAGGGGATGATTTGGGTGGACGGTGGTCCCTGGGCATAGGAGGCAACAGAGTCTAGAGCACAGGGAGAAGGAGAGGGATTAGGATTAGTGTGAGACAGGGGTTGAAAATCTCCCAGTGTGACAGGGGGGTGTGTACACAGATACAGGGACAGGTGAGGCACAAAAAAGGATGAAGGCTTAGGGGATGAGGAAGATGGTGATGATAATGCTGATGATTTCTGTGAAGTAGGCATAATATCATCAGCTGAGGGTAAAGGACAGGAGTTTTGAAGAGAGTAGAATAAACACTGTGGAAAATGAAAAAGGAAGCTGACCATGGAAAAAATACTAGGCAGCACTGAGAATTCCGTGGACACTGGTATGGCACCATTCCCATCCAGCCGCATCCCAATTACTGCCAAAAGCTTGGTTCTGATCATGTCGCTAGTCTACTCAGAAAAACCAGTGGCTTTCCATTGCCTACAAAATAAAGTCCGAGACCCTGAATCTGATACTCCTAACCCTCCAGTTGAGGCCTTAACCCATCTTTTCCAGCCCTTTGGCCCACAGCTCCTTTCACGGACTTTCTGGTCTATAGCCAATAACTCGACAATTTCAGGTCCATACCGGTTATCTCCTTGGCTTCCTCATGCTGTACTGCCAGCTCTGCCTGCTCTCCACTCAGTTTTGGCCCATTTGAATCATGTGGGCCCCCTCAGGAATGTCTGCTATCCCAGGCTCCTCCAGCTTCTCTAAACTTCCTAAAACTTAATCTGTACCTTTCACGGGGAACTTACTATTTTATGTGTTGTGTTATAATTACTTATAGAAAACGTGTCCATTTCTTCTGACTAGTGTATAAGCCTTTTGAAAGTAAATATTCAGGGCCAGCCGAGTGGCTCAGTTGGTTAAGAACTCGCTCAAGAGTGTGAGCTCTGAGCAACAGCGGTTCAATTCTCAACCCAAGCTGAACTGAGCTGCCAACAGGTGGCTCAGCTAAAAATAAATAAATATCTCAGCTAAAAATAAATAAATAAGTATTCATTCATCAATAAATGTTTTGAGTGTCTACTACGGTGCCAGACACTGGGTGCCACGACTGAGGCCCCAAAGTGAACAGGAAGGCTGAGGTCCTTGCTTCCGTGGCTCCTACTCTCTAAGGCAGCGGTTCTCAACCTTTCACAGGGTCGCCTAAGACCAACGGAAAACACATATTTTTGATGGTCTTAGGAACCGCGTCACCGCTCCTCTATCCGTCTCCAGGCCCACATGCAGATACGCCTGCATATGAGTACCCGGCGACCCCTATGAAGGGGTTGTTCGACCCCCAAAGGGGTCGCGACCCACAGGTTGAGAACCGCTGCTCTAAGGTCAATGGTCACGTAAGCAGGAATAATAATTCCAGAGAGTAAGGAATGCCTGAAAAAGATAAAAACAGGATGAAGTCACAGAGTCTGAAAGTGACATCTGAGGTGAGATCTAAATAATGCAAGACGCGGGCCATGCAAAGATCTGTGGGTAGATCAAGGACAACTGCAAAAGGCTAAGGCTACAAAGTGCGTGGTATGCCTGACAGTCACAAAGGCCTGTGTGGCTGAGACTGAGGAAGGGCAGACAAGGGTAGAGCAGGCCCCGGCTCATGGAGAGCCTCCCAGGGGAGCCTATACTCCATTCCAGGTTCAAGGGGGCCACAGCAGGACAGTGATGGGACTTAAGTTTATAAAGACCACTCTGGCTGCTGGTAGGGAAGGGATAGTAGGCTGCAAGAGGAGATGCAGGGAGACCTATGTTTATCTATGCTTAAATAAAAAGAGTTTTTAAACAAAAGAATTGTGTGGGTTTTTCATTCCTACTGAATGAGAGGTTTGGTAATGAAACTTTCCCGGCCCTATAGGTTCTCTCCTACACTGTCCAGTGCCTAACTTGGCTCTTGGCACATAGCACGTGTTCAACAAATACCTCCTCTCTCTTCCCCTGAAATCCTTGGCTGAGCAATGATTTCCACAGCCTTCAAATGTTTTCTTTTTTTCAAAAGCAGTGAGCCTCTTTCTAATAGAAACTCAATAAGTAAAAACAGAGGTGGTGTGAGGGACACTGTGAAGCAGCTCTATGGAACCCTGGTCTGAAACGTCAAATACACCAAGCACGCCTAACTAGACCATCGCAGGGTCTACCAGGTTTCTCAGGGAAGTTCATTCTGGGGTAACCTGTCAAACACTGTCAAGGGAAGTGCAATTCCCCTGGCGTCATAAACCTGTTCTATATAGTAGTCCTACTGTAAAATTCTCCTATGGATTTGAGTATGTTACTGGTCAGGTCACAGACCACAAAGCAGAGAAATTACTAAAAACTGGGCATGAAATGATTTAGCCTAAAATCCAGTATTAATCTCATATCCTAATACCTCTGTTATAATAGGATTTCTCTAAAGTTACTTAATAAGCTCTATCGCCTGCCAAGCCTTTCACTAGATTTCAAACGTCACAAAGTAGTAATGACTCTTTAAGCAATATGGCTTTCTCTACTTTCCTGACCTAAGACTAAATATATTTGCAAGTATTTTTGGTAAAGTGTGTGTATAATTTGCAAACAACAAAAATAAATTCTCCATAAAGCAGCTTGATCTATGGGAATTACTTCTATCTGCCCACACTTTGCTTCTAATTCTATTTATGTAATGAGATTAGCCTTATGATCACAACAGGAAAAGGCATGGCTCAAATCAGTTATAACAACTGAAGGAGCTAATCCAATGGAAAAAATTCACAGCCTTGGAATCAGGAACCTTTCACTTTCCAAGCTATCAAAACTATCTCCCCATCGGAGGTCATTCCCTTGCCTTAAGACTGGATAATTCTAATGAGGAAAAACCAAAAGCGGCCAAAAGAGGAAGGGAAGAGAAAGGGCAGGAAGGGTCTTTGACAGGGAGGCATAAAAGATCACCAAAAATGGTCCCAAGTAAGGGCCGGCTGAGCGGCTCAGTTGGTTAAGAGCTCGCTCAAGAGTTTGAGCTCTAAGCAACAGCGGTTCGAGTCCCAGCCCAACCTGAGCTGCTGCTGAGCTGCCAACAGGTGGCAGGGTGGCTCAGCTAAAAAAACAAACAAAAGTGGTCCCAAGTAATGTATATGAGAAGAAAGCTTATAAAGTAAATGGTGTTTTATTATAAAATTTATAACATTTGTTAAACTATAGAAAAAAGGGACCAATTTCAAAATGCCACCGTCATACTCAACGTGTTTCACCCAGCTTCCTCCAAGCAGTGTCTGTGTCTGTAAAGACCCAAAGCACTACGGAGAGCAGCCCAGCTAGAGGTTCCTGTGGGCAGATATGTAAGTACATGCTGGAGGGTGGCGGGAGGCAGGCTGGAGAGGTTTCTATTAGTGGAGTTAGCACTTTCCAACTCAATCAAACTCCAAACAACAATTACCTTCAGTTTTTACTATTCAGTCCTCTCTCCCTCTCCCCATTCGTTGCCATTGCCAAACCTCATAATTTTACTTCTCCAACGTTTTAGAATACACCTGTATGCATTCTGGTCCCACTGCCTCAAGGACAAAACCTGTACAGTATACAAACTCGACACCCAGTTTATCCTTCCTTCTACTTACTTTGACTCTTAATTATGATTTCTAAACACCAAAACTCAGATAAGTAAAGAGTTATTCTAAAGAGCCTCATTTAAATTACTCATGGAATTTTATGATAGATGATGAGAAAACATGAAAAATAGCTTGTCACTCCAAGAATTCAAAAGGAAAATTCCAGAAAGCAAAAAATAGTCCTTATAAAAACTTTCAGTGTCTAATAGCAATGGTATTCTTATTTTGAAAATGTGTGTATTAAGAAATATTAAACATCTACTAGTTGTTTAACATACATGAGCTAAATATTAGTGTTAACACTTATGCTTATACAAATACTTACAAATCTAGAGGAGTTGTCATTCCTTACAGTCTTGGCATTTCCAAAAGCTGGTAAAAAAAGAAACAGATGTGTGGTTAAAATTGACAAAAAAATAATTTTGAGCAGAGATAAAGCAAACGTAGCATTTGATATCTATAAATCCCAGAAAACACAACTTATAGCAATGACATTTCTGTCCAGAATTTCCACAGAAACATACTTAACAGAAGTATATTAAAGCTTCCATGTCTTATTATAAGCTCACAGACAAAGAAAGAGGCATTCCTATGATTCATGGAATTTTTTTCAAGTATTACTGTAAACTTAATCTTGTTTAATTCAAGACCTTTTAACTGTTTTGACAGTAGTCAGTTGAGTGGCTAGCAAGCAAGGCTTCTATGCTTTCCAACCATTATTATCAGTGAATAAGGTTATTTCAGAGATAACTACAACTTAATATTATCAAAGGTTTTGTGGAACTTGATAAGGTTTCAAGACAGAATAAGGCCCGAGAAACTTTAAACTGTTTAATAATTTTAAGTAAAGCTATTTAAATGTGATTACTGTATTTTGCTGTGTATAATGCGCATCCATGCTTTTGGCCCAAACTTTCAGAGGAAAAAAAAATCTTTCATTTTAATTTTTTAATTCAAATTTTTATCTATTTATATTTAGGCACTTGTTTTTTGTATTATAAAGAAATTTTACCATTTATTTTTTAACATATTATGGTACAAGAAATTTTATGTAACAAATAATTACAAAACACGATAACAGATATAAGGTACAAGAAATTTTATGTACCGGTAACAAATTTACGACATTTACACATCACAGAAGGCCAAGAACTCGTCATCATTGCAAGTTCATCGTAAGTTCAACAAAACCGATTACTGTATTCCAGGGTATTATTTTACATACAGATATCATTATTGATTTCTAGAGTTACACTTTTAACTCATAAGCATAAATAAAAGAATTAAAAACATTTACACAGATATGGAATTAGTATTGCCCATGTATAATGCACATCCTTATTTCCCCTCACAAATTTGGGCAAAAAAGTGTACATTCTACATGGCAAAATACAGTAAATATACAACAGAAAAGGTAAGAGATTTGAAAAACTAAAGTCATTTTCAAAAGGCTAAAAATGCTAAATACTTTTATTAGTTTATGCCCATCAGGCCTAAGTGAAACTTTCCAGAATAGAAAGGAAACCGAACTGGCCCAAAAATGCAAACTCCAAGTGTGTTCCAATCTCTGCTGCTCCAGAGGCAGGGTCTCCCACAGGATAACCTTTCTTTTTTTAAAGATTTTTATTGGGGAGTTGGGGGATGGGAACAGACAAGTTGCTGTCGTTTTGTTCTTCAGTCTAGTTGTGGAGGACGTTGGTTCACTGGCCCAAGTTGGCACCATCATTGCGCTCTTCACCGGTGAAGCAGATCAGTCGCCGGCTTTTGGACAGCCGCTCATGGCGGCTGCTGGCCGCTCACGCTGGCTGCTGACTACACACAGTAGTCCATGGCAAACCACTGCAGCAGGGGCTGCAGCCTACGCCGTCGCCTGCGACTTATGGCAGCCCAGCTCCAGGTTGAGCTGCTGTTCAGCATCTTAGCTGTAGAGGGCAGTGTCACTGACCCTCATATGTGGGATCCGAACCAGGGCCCTCTGGCGTCCCAAGCCAGCTCTTAACCAATGCGCCACTCAGCCAGCCCAGGATAACCTTTTTAATGAGGGCGCCTAAGAACTATGAATTGATGCTGCCTAAGCACAAAGTGTTTCTGTTTACCACAGGTAGTTCATAGTTTCATAAGGTAAAAAGGTCATTTCACCAAGCTTGTGCACAAGGTAGGAGCCAATTAATCTGGGTAGCAGAGGATTAAGTCAAATAAATATAAGTCTGTATAAGCAGAGGGGATCCCTGTTTGATGCTTCAAAGAGAAATGCATCCTAGATGAAGAGGCCAGGCATCAAATCCCTAGAAGCCTCCGTAACTTCATGATATTAAATGGAGAGAATAAGATTAGAGTAACAAGAGCTCAAATGATAACTGAGGGCTACAAGCTGGTCCAAGTTTTTAAAGCAATCACCAGATCAGGCATGCAAGTGTGTGTTTAAGTCAAAGTTCACTTTGGATATTCGGTTGCCAAGCCTGATTCGTTATATTTCACATTAGCTGGTGTTCCTTAGCTTTTGATTAAAGAAAGAAAAAAACGTTGGCTCCTGCTTATTTAAGACAAAATTTACAAAATCAACACAGGGGAAGTTATTTGTGTCAGATATGCCTCTTGGAATGGGTATGGTTTGGTAGGTCCCTGACACCAAATTCTCTCTTTAATAGAAAATAAACTGAGATGTTATATGGAGAGAGGAAAAGTACCCAGAGGTAATACTCAAAAAAGGATGCTTGCTGAAATAGTTCACATTATTATCCCATGTCCACCACCACCTAAAAGGCTTTAATAAATGCAGTATTGAGAATGGTGAGTGGTGACCTAGTTATCATGAAGACCAGGACATTTTTCGTGTTTTCACAGGCTATTCCTCCCTGGTGGGTGTGAACATGTAGGGGTGCCAAGTTAACTAACTTGCACAGCCCCGAAGTCCAGCTCAAGATGCTGAAACATGAAAGGAAGTTTATTGTGGCTTGAAGGTCAAGTGCAAGTGAAAGAATTGCTTCAAAAAACTTTACTCAGGGCACCATTTGCAAGCCATAAACCATCTTTTCATCAAACAAATCTGAGTTGCACATTACTAAACACAGCTCTAAACACTAAACTCTTTTATTGTAGCCACAGAATCAAAAACAAGTGTTCCATTATAGAACACTTGAGACACATTCCTCAATTGTTTTTTTTTAAGTTCATTGTTCTAAATGTTCATTTACAGTAGCAGCTCCAGTTAAAAAAGTAAAGCATTCCCATAAAAGATAATGCATGCCCACAGTAGACATTTCTTCCATTTCCTGCACTGGGGCCTGGCTTCAAATACCATGGAATAACAGGCCAGATTCTAATCACAGATGCCAGCTATAAGCATTCCACAGTGCTTCTCCTTTAGATCACAGCATTCTTAAAATAAACATATGCAGAAATACAACACATGGACAGCACCTTAACTTAAAAACGGAAGACAGGAAACAAAAAAGTTAAACCCTAAAACAGTAAAATGAAGACACAGCATTTTTACAATAGCTTCTTTATTTGTTAAGGTACTCAAGGGGAAGAAACATCAATATAATAGATGTTTCAGCCTTGGCTTTTCACAAAGTTGAAGTATTTTCACGACTTCTTTTACTGTCTAGGAGATTAGGATACATGGCACCTTCCTGTAATAAAGTGCAAGGAAGGGGCTAGGCCTAAGTAACAAAGGCTTCTGTCCTTCCACATTGGGGGGTATCCCTCCCACCCCAAGGCAGCTCTGCTTTAATCCATGTTAAATCTTGACCTTCCATGAACTTTGAATAAAGGGTTGAACCAAACTATTCTTCTAGACCAGAGATTCTAATCATGGGTGGTTTTGACCCCACAGGGACATTTGACAATGTCCAGAGACATTTTCAATGGTAACGACTAGGGACAGGGGTACTACTGGCACCTAGTGGGTCAGGGCAGGGATGCTGCCAACATCTTACAGTGCACAAACCAGCCCACCACAGCAAAGACTGACCCAGTCCAAAATGTCAACAGTGCTGAGTGTTGAGAAACCCTACTCTACCCCAGCAACCATGTTAAATGACAATAAAGACGTGCTTACACTATAAAGCAACGGTGAGGGCTTGTCATCAATAAGAAAAGACTTTGATTTACGGTTTCCAAAGTAAAGGATGGTTTATAGTGATGGTTTTTGCCAACCTCAGTGGCATGAGGGACTCACCTCTGGCTTTTTTTCCCTGATGGATTGGATGTTTGTGATCCCCTCCACAAATTCATAGGTTCAAGCCCTAAGCCCAATGTGATAGTGTTTGAAGATGGGGCCATTGGCAGGTAATTAGAGTTCAATGAGGACATGAGCCAGCCAAGCTCCCACCACCACCACCACCACCACCACCACCACCACCACCAAGCACAAAGAAGAGGTCGCGTGAGCACCCGGCAGCGTGGTGGCAGCTGCCGACAAGCCAAGAGGCCTCAGAAAAAAAAACTACCTTGCCAGAATCTTGATCTTGGACTTCAGAGCCTCCAGAAGTGTGAGATAATACATTTCTGTTATTTAAGCCACCCAGTCTATGGTATTTTGTTATGGCAGCCAGAGCTAATACAGATGATGGCCAACCACAGAATTTGAGCTCTACAGTCAGGTCTAGGCTTTCTGTGGTCCTGAAAACACTGGCCCTTAAATATTTCCCTGGCATAACCTTGGTTTCCCTGACAACAGTAACAGGCAGCCACATAGTTTATCCTGAAGGATAAAACAGAGCTACACTCACATTGCTCTTTTCCAGCAAGTTTTTCTCAGCCGTTAAGTCAAATTCAAATATCAGTTGTTTACTTGTCAGCAAAATTTAAGTGGCTCAAATAAAAACTGAAAGGGAAAAAATAATTGAAGTGGGAAAGCTCTTTTTACATAAGCAAACTGTTCCCTCCTTTAAGCACTAAAGCCAAGCGTTCCTAGGATACAGCTCATTTGCTCGGCAGGTCTGGGCCTGAACGTCTTCCTTCTGTCCTCTTCCTTCCCAGCCCACCTCCCAGCTCACCAGGTATCTGCAGCGCCTAGAAAGCCGGATCTACTGTTCAAGTCACACCGACCCAATGTACACAGAAGTCTTACCTTCCAGGACTGGGTTGGACTGTAAAAGCTGTTCTTTGACTTGATTAACTTCTGCTCCTTTTCCACAGACGGCTGCGACGTAGGACATCACAAGCTTGCTGGCCTCTGTGGATGAAAACAAGCCATATTAATAAATGAAGCAGAAATTTTTTTTTTGAAGGAAGGAAATTGAGGGGTGGGTAGAATACCCACTAACCACTGTTTTCAAAGGCCTTTATACCTGAGAATAAATAATGGTTTGGAAATCTTTTAAAGTATTTGTCTTTTTATTCAATGCTATGTCATTCATTCAGATGTAACAGGAATTATGCTTAACGGTTATCACCCAGTTGCTAAAAAATTTGCTGAGTAACATAGCCAACCAAACCTCAGGAGAACAATCTTCTTCAAGCAATCATTTATATACAATTACTGTATTATACACAGATGATTCAAGCCAAAAATAACTTGGTAATCTGGGTATTTTTACCAAATATATATTGAAGTGTTAAAAGAATTGTTGTCCTCAAAAATATTTTCTATCAAAATTGTGGCATGCTCATAATCAGACTAAATTAATTACTTGATTCAACTCGATTAAAAAACTTAGCAGCTAATCTCAGGATTCGATAACAAGAAATATAGCCCTTTGAGGGCACTGTTGTTTACATAGGCTTCACTAGTAACCCTGAAAGGTAAGATGCTAAAAGAAGCAGGCCACGGGCCGGCCGAGTGGCGCGATGGTTAAGAACTCGCTTGGGATGCCAGAGGGCCCCGGTTCGGATCCCACATATGAAGGCCAGTGACACTGCCCTCCACAGCTAAGATGCTGAACAACAGCTCAACCTGGAGCTGGGATGCC